ACAGAAAAACTAATTTTTACGTTTTCGGCTGAAGGACTTTGTTTCCATGGCCAGCAATAAATTTAAAAAAAGTTAACGGTAATGTATGCCATTCGGTATTCTACACAAAGCCTAAAACAGTCAGGCCATGTGTAAATAAAATAAAATAAAAATAATAAAATAAACACTATTTACGCTTGGACTAACTATTCTATACAATGCACATCGTGCATTAGGCAATGACTGAATGGGCAGATTTTTACAATTCTACACTTTAGTTATTATGTTATTCAAAGCTTATGATTATTTTAGTACTTATAAGAAACCAACATAAGAAAATGCTCAACGCAGATGAACATAAAGAACTAATACTACTAACTCATACTTATACTCACTTTCTAATAGAAATGTAATTCCTAGTTATTATGTAGGTAGATTTTTGTAATTCAATCCTTATAAAATTACAATAAATTTAAATACTTCAATAAGTACCACCTTTTTCAAAGTGTACGATTGTCCTAGATACTGTAATGTTTTAATAATTTTAATTTTACCAAGAAAGTAGAGTACATAATCGATGTAATTTTTAATAAGCAATCAGAAAAGACTGTCAGAAAAGACTGAGGAGCATTGGGAACGTATTATACTTTTATTTAATTTTCTAGGTTATTAGCTTATTTTTTGGACATCTGTGTTATATGTGGAGTTATTAATGGCCTTAATAAAAGTTTTTCATGGTGTTACGATGTTTTCTTTATGTCCTAAAATATAAAAGTGTAACTTGAAACGATCTCATATTTAGTAATATGGTGACCTATTTAGAAATAAATAGTTTATTATTAATAAGTAGTGACATAAGTTTTAACAAGTCTTTTAAAAAAACATGGTTTCAGATGAACATAAATCCAAATTTGCACTATTAAAAAAAATGAAATAGTAATTACCACTTTTTAAATTTTCTATATTTAGGGCAGTGTAGATAAGTAAGTCAAGTACTACATCAAATATTTAATTATTTTTAATTACAGCTCAATATTCTCCCTTTTTTACAAAATTGTTAGGCATATTGTCAGTTTTTAATCAACGTTTTCCAAAAATTAGTTTTTATGAGTTAGGTCACTATAATGATCTAGCCACACAGACACGGCCGCGGAAGCGTTCCGGGCACGGAAATTTTTGTAATGTACTTCCACGCTGAAACGCGCGGCCGACACGCGGCAGCCGCTACATTTCTGGACGATGTCCACAACTTTAGTTTTATGCCAGATAACTTCGTTCCGGACTTTGTCCCTTAACGAGATATAAGACGTGTAGTCTGTGACCCAGTTTGACCGTCATATTCCACGTCTCGGCTCCGTAAGTCATCTTCCTACCGGGACGCATTGGTTTTGGCAACACTGGTCTTCAGGCACTGCGGGAGTGGTGACGAGAAGATATGACGCAGTTTCCCAAATGCTGCCCAACTGAACTCTCCTAGCTATTTGACGCTCGAAGTTGTTTCTGCCTAATTACAGGGTTTGCCCGAGGTAGACATATTCTCGGACGACTTCGAGCGTTTCGCCATTAATCGAGATCGGCTCCGGGATGACGAGCTCATTGAACAAGACCTTAGTCTTGTTCAATGAGTACAACTACTAACTAAAAGTTATCCGAAGATCGACAGATAAGGAGGCAGCATTAAGGCTGTTCAACATTTTCTGCAGATCCTCCAGCGATTCTGCCATTATAACGACGTCGTCGGCAAAGCGAAGGTGTCTGAGATTTTCGCCATTGACATTGATGCCCAATCCGGTCCAAATCAAGTGTCTTAAGACGTCCTCCAAAGCGTTTGAGAACAGTTTCGGAGATATAACGTCTCCCTGTCTCGTGCAACTGGATGGGTCTTGTCTTGTTGCTTTGTACTTGGACGTACATCGTGGCCTCTACGTATCTCCAGTCGACTTGGCATCGCTGCAAGGATTCCAGAACAGCCCAGGTTTCAACGGAGTCGAAGGCTTTCTCGTAGTCCACAAATGCTAGACACAGTCGCTGATTATACTCTTTGGACTTCTGTATAATCTGCCGAACAATGTGTATGTGTGGTGGTGTATACTTTTACCAGTCGGTGCGTATTGAGCCCGCCCCCATCCTCCCGTTTAGGCCGGTCGCCACGCGCCGGTATGATGAAATATGAAATCAGCTATTGCCAAATAAAGCCTAGCAGTTGATGCTTTCATACCACAACTTGCTACTTTAACTCGTGGATTGGTTACATTTTGAGTTTCTTAATTCTATGACATATTTTTAAGCAATGTATTCATAGCTACAATAATATATAATTATTAATACTGAGAATGAATAAATTAATATTATTGGATGTGGGGAATTTAAACATTGCTCTCCCCGAATTAGTTAGAATTTAAGCTTGATTTTTGGGGATTTTTAACAATTAGGGTTTGCAACGCTGGAAGCCATTCGCTCTGGACCTTTTAGAGGGAAAAGCGGCGTTTTTATTTTGACTTTCAATTATTTTGTGAATTCTAGTTTAAAATGGAATAGGATAGTGCTATTGTGCCTTAATCGAAGATTAAAACGCGAAATTATACGAATCTCGAACTAAAATACCCGTATCGGCCTGTTTTAAGGAATCCTGAGTCAATCCAAGCACGCCCCGTCTCAAATTGCCTATCCTCTTTGTGCCGGCCATACTTACAGAAATTGATAATTATTTTTATGTTTTCGGCTGAAGGACTTTGTTTCCATGGCCAGCAATAAATTAATTAAAAAAAAAATTTAGAAACAAAATGTCAATGTCAGTTGTCATTTGTCAAATCATTTTTCTAATTGCTACTAATTGCGCTGTACATAAGTATTTGTAATTTTGCATCAGTTTTATTGACAAAAATGTGTGGAATTATCTGCGAAATAGTATTCTCTGAGAATAGTTTATTCAAGGTAACTATATATAGGTCATAATCACATTAATACCTGCTTACTAAATACGAGATATAATTCATTACGAAGTTGATCACTTGCAAATATATAAAACTAAACAAGTTTCATTTCAGGACAAAAAATTACTGCAAAGAATAAAAAATAGAGGTCCTAACTGCTGCCGTGCTGTCGAAATTGACATGGGTAATGGAATTAAAGTAAATTTTTGCGGTGCGGTGCTGTGGATGCGAGGACCCACTATCATTCCACAACCAGTTGAAAGCGACCATGGATTGCTTCTATACAACGGTGATATATTCAACGAGACTTGGGATATAAACGCTAATGACACTTTGGTTATTTTAGAGAAACTCGGCCAGGTTGAGGTAAGGGTATTTTGAAGTTTCTTTTTTATAAAATATAAATGCGCTATTGACCTCCATCTCATGATGGAAAAATCATTATAGCGTTCACCATTTTTCATGGTGTTGGTGCCACTATAATCTATAATACTATTACTCAGGTTGCATAATCTTTTTAAAAATAAGTTTCATAATTGCTATACTAGTCAATAGATAAAAGAATCACCAGATGAATGCAAAACACTAAATGATGATTCAGCAACTTTATGAATTTTAATGAGGACCTGTTTTATCAGCAAATCTATGTAATTTTAAGGTGATCCAGGATAGCTGGATCAAATGAAATATACAAATAAACTGTGCTCATTATTTACTACCTAATTTCTACTATTTAGTACCGTTATTGCCATATTGTCTACCTTTGCGCTAACAGAAATATTAAAGAAATAAAGTGGCCAGCCATTCTGACGTCAGGTTGGCTGGACCACTTTACGGTTTTCATGATTCTAGCAGTATATAATTTACTTTTTTTATATAACTGTTTACTACCTATATGTTATAAACATACTTTTTTTTCACTACTTTAGGAAGCTTCTGTAAAAAGTTATTTCACAAAAATAATAAAATGCCTTTATCTTATAAAAAGACAGTTTATCTTCTCTGTGTAATAGGTAACAACATTTTTACAGGCACTTAGAATATGCCAACAATGGTTTTTGGATTGTTTTTGCAAGCAATATCTTATAACAATGATTATATTAATTACTAGTTGAATTCATTATTACGAATGTAAATTCCATTTGCATGTCTAAGGAATATGAACGAATTATAATTACTTAAGTATGTAATAATTGTTTAGTTGTCATGTGATCATAAATATTCGAAACTACCCACAATATTCACAATGGTGAAAATAATTGTATGTGTGTATGCAAAGTTCGCTTATCTAACATCATTAGCAGTTGAATGAGTATAACATGTCTCATAACCAAAAGGGTACACAGTGAGCCCAAATTGATAATATATGTTGACTTAGGAACATTTTGTGGAATATTGAGCTGATTTTTTTTATATGATAGACAATGAAATTCTAAGCATCTTTTATTCTTAAGTATTTCTTGAAAAATTGATGATGATGACACACACACACACACACACACACACACACACACACACGACACACACACACGCGCACACACACACACACACACACACACACACACACACGGAATTTACATTACATTACAACACAGTGAGCATAATAATATCATTGTTACAACATATAGCAATTGTTATAAAGTATGGATAATCCAGAAATCATTATTGGCATATTCTAAGCGCCTGTAAAAATGTTGTTAGCAATTATACGGAGAAGATAAACTGTCTTTTTTAGAAGATGAAGGCGTTTTATTATTTTTTTAGCAACTTTTATAGAAGCTTCCTAAAATAGTGAAAAAAGAGTATGTTTCAGTAGAAATTAGGTAGTAAATAGTTATATAAAAAAAGTAAATTATATAACCGCTAGAACCATGAAAACCGTAAAGTGGTTCAACCTACCTGGCATCAGAACGAATGGCCACTATATTTCTGTAATATTTCCGTTAGCGCAAAGGTAGAAAATATGGCAATAAGGGAGTAAATAGTAGAATTTAGGTAGTAAATAATGAGCACAGTTTGATCTGTAGATATACAAACAAAAAGAGATTTTGTTTGGTAAAGCCATCTTGACAGACACAATTTAAGTATCAATTCATATTCTCATATAAATCTTAATCAGTAATTATTACATGTAATCCCAAATTATAACAGATATATGGAAAAGCAGATAAATTATTTATAAAATATAATGTATTTTCTAAGAATTTTGCAGATATCCACATAATCAATGAATTGAAACAACTACGGGGACCTTTCAGCATGATTTATTATGACAAGCATACACACAATCTCTATTTTATGAGGGATAGAATTGGCAGAAACACCTTACTATTTCATAAGAGTGACCAATCCATAGTAATTAGCAGTGTTTTAGGTAAGAAGAATGTTAATAAAGTCTATATTCTGTAAATGTTTCAATTTTATTATAAAATGTGTCTGGCCTTTTTTAAAGCAGCTTATTAAAAGCAAATGATTAAGTTACTGTAATGACCAGTAAAGATTTCTCTCATCCTCTTCTCATAATTCTTTGTGTGCCTTATTTTAATGTCACCATAATGAAATATTTGAAATTTGGTTTAGCCATGGTAGATGTAGTAGTATTGAAATCTCATTATATGAGTACAAGAGTTTTAACCCTCTTTGTCAACAGGTTACTTATACAGTACAACATTTAATCACCCCAACCTGCAATATATCCGCTAACTGAAATTGCCTTCTTATAGCCACATAGTGATCACATTCCAGTTTTAAGCACACCAATTCTTTGACTAAAAGATAAATAAAGGCAAAGACTCCCTTTTTATTATTAGTAATCACTGTTCCCTTGTTTTAGGTAGAAAGTACAAATGCATAGAAATACCAGCAACTCACATTTACGTACTAAATGTACTAACTAACACAATTAGATCACATCCTTGGGACAATGGATATTCAGTAGAAGAGCATGTTCTACAGCATTGGTATGATAAGATACAAACATTGCAAAGTTTACCTGATGAAGAATTCACATTCGAATTTGACCATTTGGATGACTTGAATGAGGGGGTAAGCTATATTTAAGACATTTAATTCAGGAAAATTTCAAAATATTCTTACATTTCAGGTTTAAAATATGTTTCAGGAAGACATAGTAGGGTACATTGAAAGCACAGCAAAAGAAACAAAATGCAAACTGAAATTAATGGAAAAACTTCTAGAACACCCAATCATAGCAGAAACAGTTACAAAAATAATGGAATTGTTAGAAAACAGTATCAAGATGAGGTTGAGAACACAGCCTTTTAAATGCAAAGAGTGTTTAATGAAATCTGATCCCTGTATTCATTGTACTGTGGGCATACTATTCTCTGGAGGACTAGATTGTACAATTTTAGCATTTCTATCACACAAATATGTGCCAAAAGATCAAAGTATAGAGCTGATGAATGTAGCATTCAAAAAAGATGATAACTCATCTTATGAAGTACCAGACAGGTTAACAGGAAGGCAATCTTTTAAGGAATTAAAGGCATTATTTCCTTCAAGGTAAGTAGGTGTTATGACTATTCAGCAGCAAAACTGAAACAATCTGTACATAACAGAGTTTTTTATCAGTTTCTAAATTAAATTGCACATTATTCAAATTCAGTTTATATTGATTTCCTCAGAAAATGGGTATTTAGAGAAATCAATGTATCAAAAGAAGAGCTAGAAGAATGTCAAAGAACAAGTATAGCAGATCTTGTACATCCTAGACAAACAATTTTGGATGAGAGTCTGGGATCTGCTCTTTGGTTTGCGGCCCGGGGTCATGATGAACATTCTGTATCTTCTTCAAGGGTAAGACTTGGTTGTATAATAAAAATTGGTCTATGAGTAGTAGACGTTAATTTTTTAATCTGAGCTTACACCATAAGCAACTTCAGAATTCAATATTGTCTTTACAGGTGCTATTAATAGGCTCAGGAGCTGATGAGCTTTTTGGGGGCTACACTCGACACAGAAATGCATATAAGCGCCAAAATTGGACTGGTTTACAAAAGGAGTTGTATTTAGACTGGAAGAGAATATCATTTAGAAATCTTGCCAGAGATGACAGGGTGATAAGTGATCATGGAAGATACCCTAGAGCGCCGTATTTGGAGGAAAATGTTGTTGATTATGTATTAAATTTAAAACCATGGTTAAAGTTAGTAAATAATACTTTTTATTTAGATATTATTTAAACTTCACTAATTCTAGGTTTACAGATTTGTACATTACTCATTGTTTACCCACTAGGGAATACTAATGCCACTACAAGATCTGCCTCATCTTATGGCAGATTTCACCAAATTTAGTAACATTCTGCTACTGCTATCGAATACTTCATGTAAATTAAGGTTTTTTTTTTTTCAGATGCTTCCCCAGTGAAATCTTAGGACAAGGAGTAGGTGACAAATTGATTCTCAGACTAGTTGCCTTTAAATTAGGCTTAAGGGAAGTTGTAACATTCCCAAAAAGGGCACTCCAGTTTGGTACAAGAATTGCAAATAAGAAAGAAAAAGGCAGTAGCATTTCAAGCAGGTTTATATTGCAATAAATGATTAGTAAAATAAATATTTGTTTTATTCTTTGAGAGTTTGACATCCACAACATAACACTTTTTCTTCATCTATTTAAACTCTAAAATAAAATTTCATAAATCTAGTTCCTTCTTAAAATGCATTTTGTAATGTTTCTTCAATCCGCTATGTGAAGTGTAGTCTTTTTCACATAAATAACATTTATAAGGCCTCGCACCTGTATGAGTTCGCATATGGGTAATAAGATCTGCAGATCTTTTGAAAGAACGCCCGCATGTATCACATTTATAATTTCTATCATCACTATGTATTTTCATATGCCTTATTAAGTCCTGCCGTTTGGTTGAAGGTCGTCCACAGATTTCACACATGTATGGTTTTATCCCTAGATGTGATCTTATGTGTATTCTTTGTGTTTCAGCCCTTGTAAACTGTTTGGGACAATACATGCATTGAAAAAGTTTTGTATTATTATGTGTGGTTAGATGACATTTGAATTCTTGTTTTGTTTGGAATAAGGAGCCACATTGTTCACATTGTATAGTATCAGGATCCTCAATAATGTCTTTAGCATCTAATGTGATATTAAGTAAACAATCCTTTTTACTCAAACTATTATTTTGTACAGTTTTACATAGTGTGCTTTCATCCGTAACTAATATCATTTCATTTTTTAATTCTTTAACAGTTTGAGTATTTATAATACTGTTGTTAATTATTATCTTATTTTGATCCTTATTGGTGTCTAAAGGATCAAAATTCAAGTCACACAGATCATCTAGGTTATTATAGTTGTTTATTAATTTCAACTTTAATTCTTCATTTACTTTTAAACAAGTTTGTTTAAATGTGTAAAACTTTTTGATCATCCTCACACATTGTTTGCAAATCATTTTTGGCAGACCATCTTCAGGATGCATCTGAAAAAGAGACCCTATGTTAGGTAATAAAATAAATACGTCCAATTAATCCAGTAGGTTTGGTAATCTTGAATATTGTGTAAATATCCTCATTATTTCGCTATATTATGAATGTTCGATATATTATTATCAATGGTAACCATTTATGCGTTCAAATTAGCCGCTGCAGCCGCGTGGTGGCTGCGCGACTGTCACTTTTCATACAATTCTAGACGCGCTGCAGCAGCGCGGTTGCAGCGCTACTAGAAATTGTATGAAAAGTGAAATCGCGCGGCTAATTTGAACGTGCCCTAAGCTGAAACGAACATAATACTATGTTACATTACATTGAAGTCTTACCTCTATACCAGTGCAAATATTTACTTGTAAATGTAAATTCTCATGCATGCTGAATAAATCTTGAAGGAAATTAGTAGCTTTGCAAAGTCTACATATTTGTTCTGGATAAGACATGGGTAAACTGATCAAAACCGTAATGAATTCTGATTTGTTATTAATTTGGTTTTAATTCAAAATACAAATTCATCACAATACCACTGCTTACAATGCTTACAAGCACCACAAATTACTGTATAGACAACAGTGTTGCCAGACTTTTGCGAAGTTAATTCGCCAATTTATGTGTGTTAAGTAGCCGATATGGAATATGAACCTTCTTATTTCCCCAATTACCCACACGTAGAAATACTCAAACCCCCAAATGAGTTAGTTTACAACTCCATTCCCCACAAAATTCCCAATAAAATTTATAATGTAATTGCCCAAACATTTTATTAAGTAGCATAAAATCGCCTTTTCCTATTTCAAACATAGCCTAAGTATCGCCAAGACCCCTCCAAGTACAAATAGCCTAATATTAGTTTGTGCTAAATGGCGAAAAATCGTGTACTCTGTCAACAGGGCTAGACAAGTACGACGCGCACGTTCGTTCGTTAGGTTACTAGAGATGGGAAAAACTGCCTTTTTAAAACGTTTAAACGTTATGCTTTTTAAAAAATATCGTGCTTTTTTAAACGCGTTTTCACTTAAATGTCTACACGGATTAACAGCTCATGATTAAAGTAATAATTGCACCACAGAACAATTCTCACTACTTTAGTAGTACTGTGGAAAGCTATGAAAATACAAAAAATTGTAAGAATGAAACTATTCTAAGGATCGTTTTTTAAAACTCTACTCAATGTTCAAGTCAGGAGTTGAGTATGATTTCAAGCACTGGAAATACTACCCTAATGGCAAGGACTAGTGTATTCCAGTGCTTGAAATCAGACTCAAGTATGCTCAAGTCCTGACTTGAGCATGGAGTAGAGTTTTGGAATACGACCTTGTACGATTGTACGTACGATTTGAGTATGGTTTAAGGCACTCGAAGTCATGCTCAAGTCCCTGCCATTAGGATCGTATTTCCAGTGCTTGAAATCATACTCAGATCCTGACTTGAGCATTGAGTAGAGTTCTGGAATACGACTCTTAGACGGTATTTACGTGTTTGACGCCATGGTCATCTCAGACATTATATACCCTACTGAATGCGCTCACAAGATGAGATTATCAATTGGCGACGATAAATCATGCAATGATTTTATATTATAAAACAATGTTCGCACTAGTATCAGCAAATATTTCGTCGTTGTTATTAACGAACTAAGCTGCTTTCATGACAAGTAATATTGCCTCGTAGCTAAAGCTCATTAATTAAAAAAGAAGGCTGGTTAGGTTTTCTTTTTTTAATTTACCCATTTGGGTAGGCAAAGGTTTTACCATACAGCCTCTTCATAAAAATTTTATCTTTCATTGAAAGGCTGGTAGAGTAACTGACAGCTGCCATTTGCCAAAACTCATCCCATGGAATTGTTTTCTTTTGTCTCAGTTTACACGCATAAATTGTATTTAACTATCACTACTTTAATAAACATTTAATTTGAACGGGTATTGTTTTAATTCAACCAACCATCGAAAACGGGCAAACTGACAAACATTGTCATTTGTCTGGAGCCCCCTCTACATCTACGTAGACAATTCCTTGCTAATAGATTCCTCTTCAAGATCTTTCAATATTCTTCTCACCCTTTGCTTCCCGTATTGCAATCCTTGTCGGAGATTATCCCTTCCTCCAATTATTGGTCACACAAGAAACCCCCCCTTCTTATCAACAGTTTTAACAAAATTTCCAATCTCCCATTCCCTATTTACCAAAATTATATGAACCCGTTGTTTGAAACTGATTTTAAATGTTTAACGTTTCGCCCAACAGTCTATCTTAGTTTTGGCATCATGAAAGATACCCCTGGAGCAAACCAAGTCTTCAACGATATAGTTGAGAGAGAATGGCATGACTGGACTACTGTTTTTACCGACGCTTCAAAATTACACGAACATGGCGACTTGGGAGCCGCGGTTTGGTTCCCCAAGTTCAATGTCGTACTCAGTTTTAAATCCCCCTATCTGAATTCGGTCTTTTCGGGTGAGGCAATTGCAATACTCGAAGCCATTTTATATATTGAGTCCCATAAAATTAATAAATGTTTGGTTTTCTCAGACTCACTAAGTTGCCTCCAAGACATTATTAAGCTACCGTTTCATTCCAAAGACAATTTCTCCATCACCCTCCAAATTAAGGAAGCTCTGTACCGATGTCATTGTGCGGGAATTGAGGTAACTCTGGCCTGGATTCCCGGTCACAGTGGGATTAGTGGCAACGAAGCAGTAGACGCCTTTGCAAAGGATGCGACAAGAATTGGCGTATGCAAATACTGTAAGTGCTTTCCCAGAGATCTGCTCGCCATGACCAAACCCCAAATGCTAGCCTCCTGGTCGGTCCTTTGGCAGGAATCACGACAAACTGTTGGTAGACACTATGGTAATCTCCAACCAAATCTACCCACTAAACCCTGGTTTTTTAAACGTCGCGATTTGCCTAAAAACATCACTTCCACTATTATTCGTTTGCGCTTAGGCCATGTTTGCACACCTGTATTTTTGCGTAAAATCAGAGTTCGCGATCACTCTCTGTGCGAGTGCGGCCTAGAAGACGGTACCTTGGAACACATTTTTTTCAATTGTCCTAATATTGCTGTTCCACTTTATAACTTACTTTCTCCAAAATTCCCCCGCCCCATTAACATAAACAACCTCTTAACTTTAGTGTTCTCCCCCCATATTGTTACTCTATGTAAATTTATCCACTTAAATAACATATATTTATAAATATTGTTTTGCTGTTTTGTTTTACATTCTCAATTGAGTACTCCCGTAGTCCAACTTACCAACACCGGTTAATGTCCTATTAGAGCTTAGCGAAAATTTTTTTTTTTTTTTGTTTCGTTTTTTTTCTTTCAACTGTGACATTGGCAAAATCATCAGTTCCAATATTGATGGAGCCATAAAAATAAAAAGTGAAGTGAAGTGACAAACATTACAAAAATGGCTGCAACTGCAAACCGTCGGAAGCAAGACGATAAAAATTTAGAAATTTTACGTGAACTTATTTCTTTAAATGGAAATAAGTATTGTTTAGACTGCAACCAAAGGGGGCCTACATACGTAAATACAACAATTGGCTCCTTTGTGTGTTCAAAATGTTCGGGAATGCTGTAAGTACTCTTTCTGCGTAGCTTTTGTGCTTGAAATGAGATCAACAAACAGTGTTTGTAATGTATTGTATTTCAGGCGTGGCCTCACGCCACCACATCGCGTAAAGTCCATATCAATGGCGACTTTTACCCCGGACGAGATAGAATTCATAAAAGCACGGGGTAACGATTACTGTAGGCGAGTGTGGCTAGGCCTGTACGAGGGTGAAAGTGTGAACTTTACTGACGAACAGAGCGTCCGGGATTTTATGTCCGATAAATACGAGAAGAAGCGTTACTATTTGGAGCAGTTACCGATTCCCGTGTCACAAACCAATGGAAGTTCGACGAAAAATAAATCGAAAACGAAGACCGGAAGTAGTGCAAATAGCACTCCGTTGATATCAATTTCGCCTCAGACATCGAAAGCTCCGGTTAACAATAACACTATGCTGAATACGGCAAAAGTGGTGAATAATTTGCTACCAGTGGTGAATGAAACGAGTCATAGGGTAGCGAGGCCAATGAACAACTTTCATTCGCCTGCTCTGCTTAGTACTGTAACGGCGAACTCCGTCGCAGCATCTGCTGTTCCAGCACCAGTACCTGAGTAAGTTTAAATAAGTTTTTACTTATTTTCTGGTGTTCTATTTACTCTTGCAATACATATTGACCATATTCATATATTTATTTTTATTTTTAGTGTAAATAAGTGAACAACTATATTTTCCGTATTTTGTATGTGGAAATCATTGGCTTAAAATACATATTTTTGTCTGAGGCTGATTTGAATAATTTAAAGATGTTCTGTTTGTTATGTTTCTTTAACATGAAATTTAGCAACAATTTTTCAGAATTGCTCAATCTGTATGTAAGAAATTACATATTACTTACAACATAGATAAATGTTGCATATTATGTATATGGATAAGATGTGTATAAATGTGCTTAGTAATTTGATTGCTAGGACTTGTACAACATCACTGATAATGCTGTGTCAGTCGCTAAGTACTATCTGGTCTTCACAAATATAAACATCAGCATCAACAGGGCAAAAAGTTAGTTTGATCTATTGTGACCATCATTAGTAACATTCTATTGTCAATATCTACAGAAAGAAAAAATTATTTGATTTTCTCACCTACTATTTATTACTTTTACTTCGGACAGTGGCAAAGAAAGTCTCTTTGTCATTGCAATCATGCATCTACGGTCTTTATTCTTAATTGGTATATAGATCCATTAAGTAACATTTAACATAGGCACAATAACAGGAACTTTATAATTTTTTTATTTTTTTTAATTAGTTAAGTGTTAAGTGCTCATTTGACCTCCATCTTACCTGATGGAATATGACAATGAGATCGATGATTTTTCACCACCACTCTTCCTTCTTAGGTTGATTAGAAAGTCCACGAGACTTACTTAATTCATACACCATTTATTTACACTAATTGCTTTACTTACTCCTTCCTTTTGCATATGGCAAAGGAATGTGATATTGTACGGCATATATATGTTTCTTAGCTAAGGCTTGAGTGAAGAGGCATTTTTGTAAGAAACTTGTACTGTCATCAGACACATTGTCGCTTGCATCATGTGAAATTGTGGCTAAGCATGCATTCAATTAAAAAAACACTTTTTTTCCAGTTTTCCTGTAGATTTTTCCACTGCTGACATTTACAACAGTAGTCAGTATAACAACAACATAAATAATAACTTCGTATCTCAGCCGTCCATGACTATGCCTGCCTTTAATGCCTTGAATCTGCCTATATCTACAACAACCAGTAAGTATTACAATATAATGCAATTTATGTTGGACAATAGTATTAGTGTGTGCATCCTTTACAACTATACAATGGTTTGGGACTATTTAACTAGTGTTATCTGGTACTTTGATATTTTCTTTACATAGAAATTGTCACCAACTATATAATTAATATTTTGATACCTACAACATTCTAAGGGTTAACATATGTTAGAGGCTTAAGTCTATGTATCCATAGTAGGTTAATGGAATAGAGCTCCTTGTGAAAAAGTTCGTTAAGGGTAGTACTTACACCTTACCTATTTCTGCCGCCAAGCAGTAATGCGAGGATTACTGCGTTCCGGATTTGAAGGGTAAAGGTGCTGGTGAAATTACAGGCACATGAGTCTTTTCAACTTATGTCTCAGGGTGACAGGCGCAGCGGCAGTGCCCTTTGAACGGCACTGCAACTGTTATGGACAGGCATGACGCTTACCATCAGGCGCACCACTTGTTGGTCCCATCACTAAGTAACATAAAAAATCCTTGCAATGGCCAAAAACACTGGCAAAGTTATTTCTTTGTATGGCTTTTTTTAATAAGTACGTTTTGTGCGGAATAGCTTAGAAATACAGCTGTATTCAGAATGTAATAGCAAAGCAAAAGTTATTTACTGTTATGTACTGAATTTATCTGTGTAATTCAGTTTTCAGATCAGAGAAGGATTAAACTTTGTTGGCACTCAAAGCGCATTATGTTTACTTAAGCTATGCTTAAATTTTTATAAATGTATTTTAATCATTGAAATAGAACAACAGAGTCATACCTCTAGCAATATACATAAAGCGATTGTTAAAAAAAAACTCCCCGATTTTTTTATTGAACAATAAGTTCTTTACCATGGTTAGCATTTTATTTATAAAATATTTTTATTGATCATTTATTGTCAGTTTCAAGGAATTTATAAATAATACTGATGAGTTTATTTGTATTTTTCCATAGGAATGTGTAGGAGAAATGAATGTAAACAATGTTATTATATTGTAAGTTTCTATTACAGATGATCGTTACGCTGCCTTAGCAGATTTAGATCTTGAATTAAGGCAACAAAACTTCAAAAATATGGGTAAGGAAATTAGATTTTTTTTAATTTAAGTAATTATATGATATTGTGTGTTTACCTTAACAACGTTTATTTTTTCAGAAGAAAGTAATAATGTAAATAGTAAAAATCCATTCCAAAGTTCAGCAACCAATGACCTATTTGGTAATAAGAATCCTTTCTTTAATGGAGGCTGGAGTGCTTCACCACCTGTGCCTGTAAATCCATTCATGGTGAGTTCAATTTGTTGTATTAGGAGTGGAAGAGTACTATCAGTGGAAACACAAAAGGCGCAAAAACATAGGGTTGCGGCATTGACTTACTGCAGTAACTACTCCACTCTATTAATAGACAGCACTTTAGCTTATCGAGAGAAGTAGTTGCTATGTAGTAGAGTTGTAGTATTCTTATTTTCTTCAACTTTTCAGTTAGCGTTAAAACCATTGTGCAGATACAATCAGGAATAGGACACAAACTAAAGATTTTTGAATATTTGGTAAAAATCAATCATATATCAATTCCTCAAAGTACATTTCCAACATAATTTCGTTTCAAACGGAAGTGTAATTCTATTCAGTGGGGATAGAACACAGAACTCCTTATCATAACTAACATAATCGACATTTTTAGCGAAATTGGGTTACTAACATCTGGAATCAGCAACACGAGATCTAAAAACCAATGTAAGCAAGTTTTTATATCTTATTTAGTTTTTTTTATTGTTAAGCAAAATCAGCGTAATTAACATTTCACCCTCATGGAAGAATGGTATATGTTAGTTATGTCAAAAACGTTTATTGCTCCATTCGATAGAGGATGTGGGTTACATTTTTCTGTATCTAATGGAGCTATAAACATTTTTTCTTCCACGAGGATGACGACGATAAAAAAAAAGTATGTGCCAATATCTCGAAAGTTACCAAAATGGAAATGCGTTAGTTATGACAAGGATAACTTATGACTTAGAAGACAAGCATTCTTCCAATAAGTCTATTACTAGTTCAACACTTTGTTGACTATTTTATTAATTTTAATCCGAGCGTTTAAATTGATAAAACAGAATTAAAAATCGTGTTTTGCAACATTTTTTTAATGTATCATTGAACATCATAGAGGGAGCTTTGACCTGTTGCCCTCTTTGCGAAGACGTAAATAGAAAATGGTTAACATACCACTGTGTGTTAACCATTGTAATTCAAAATGAACGTGCCTTTGTGAATTTGAAGTAAAGTATCTGTGTTGATTCACGTTCGCGTTCCCCTTTTTTACACTTAATCTTAAAATATGAATTCATTTCCAGACGGATTTCAGTTGTGAATTTCAGGGTCGGCAAACTAAAGCACATAAACAAAAAATAAACGAATACATTTTATTTTTCCCTGTTTTTTTATAATGTGGGAAGACGTGAAGAGAGAGAATGATAAGGCTGTATAGCGAACATCGGAAGAATAATAAAGACGAAAAGAAGTATAATTTATCACATTTATAACTTTTTATAAAAAAAAAATCAAATCTCTTTGTTGCCCGTGGTACTACCAGCAGAACTACTAGTAGTTACACGGGCAATAATAATCTCCCGCCGCCCGTGTAACTACCGGCAGGCCTAGTAGTATCACGGCTAATTGTTTTTGTCCGTGGTACTACCACTAGTAATACGGGCAATAATACTTTCCCGTATTACTACTACCAAGATAAGAACCGTTTCATTAATTTCATAAATCAAACGAACCAAAAGCCGAACAATACAATAAAAATGCATTTTAACTAGCAAATACAAATCAACCTTTATTCTTATTCAACCTTAGAACTAAGGCCAAACTCACCATGAGTTCGTTTAACTAAGGTAAACGATTATTTTAAGGAGAACTGTATACGTTTTTACAATAGGATTAGGATAGATATATACAATAGGATAGGAGGACTACGTATTAGATAAAGATGTATGGAAAGACGACATGGCTCTAAATTCCACACAAATTCAATTCCAAGTGTATTCCAAAGCATTTAAGTTTATTTGAAAAGAGCAACCCCTAGAGTTTCTTGCTCGTTTTTCTCAGGGAAGTCAGCATCACCATGCTGAGCCCCATGGTCACAGTTTTGGTCTTTGTGCTTGGTTTTTAGAAACATTATTTATATTGTATAAGGAAAAATACAAATTAACTGTTATTATTAAGGAAAATCCACAAAGTTCAACAAACAAGTTATTAGATGCGAATATTCCTATTATATTTTATTCAGGGAAATGTATATGCATATCAAAATACATATTAATGTACTTATCGTGTTTCACAAATTATATATTTATTTAAAAATATTTGCATGAAGCACAGCTCATGTATTACTTTATCTAGGCATTACGCAGTTTTTTGGTACAGTCAAGATCAAAATGATCAAAACAGGTCATTTTAATGAAAATAGATTTCCGCGTAGTATCGCCTGAATCTATAAATTATATAAAGACGGTCATACATTGATAGCGGTTTATGTACCTGTGCATTCAGTGTGCTTATAATATTTGTAAAAATTAAGCTTATGATTATCAATCTGAGGTCCACTTTTTTGTTTTCGGTTTTTAATCTTTCAGTTCTCATGGAGTATTACATTTTTAAATACAGATGTATAAATTGGTTCATGTTTTTGGTTAATTTGATAGTTCGGGAACATTTTGACATTGACTGTACAGATGTTTAGAGATTAGTAACTTTCTATTTATAACATTGATGTTTTATACATATGCATAGAACTTATGTTCATAGTGTGTGATCGGTCGTTCAAAACCAATTAGGGACCGGTGTTCAGTAGTGATATGATACCGCTTGTTACAATGGTCTGTGAAAGAAATAGCGCGCGATATTTAAGTTGAAAATAAATGCTTAGTTAAAAGGAGTTTATATTTATTAAAAAAAAAGAATTGTTAAAAAATATTAATTTTTGATTCCATCATATTATTACAAAAGCTGCCTTATTGTAAAAGGCTGCCAACAGATGGACTGCACGTTTGCAGTTAATGCATGCAGTCGTGATCAACTGCATGTAGTCAAGACGTCGACTGCATGGAGTTTTAATATCGACTGCTTCGCGCATACAGTCCGTCTAGTAGCAGGCTAAGAGTACTCATAAAAATATTGTTACCGTTTTCTTTTTTAATTTGGTACACATCTTGAAATACACAATATTCAAATACACATGACAAGCTCATATACGTATACATTACAGAGTGTAAGTCCTTATGTTGGTGAACACAACACACATTACAAATAAATAAAGTTCGAACAAATAATAATAATAATTTAATTCCTCAATCGGGAGAAGCGTTAAGTGCCTAGCATTTTATTGGATGACGAAACACAAATTAACTATCGCACGGACGACATTTGGCATAGATTGTGCCGTTTTAGACCTACTAACCTTTCGTCTGCCATTAGATTGTTTATATGTTATTTATATAACTGCATATGTTTTTACTCACATGCTTAAAGTATGGATTAGGTATTAGTAGGGTGACATATGCGTGAACAAAATTCTTAATTGGGCGATCATCGAAGTGCCGCCAAAGCACAGCCATTTTCGCAAAAATGTAATTTTTTTTCATAACATTATACAAAAGTGATTAATAATTAGTACATTGAATCTAACACTGTTGTTGAGCGAGGAGATGTATTACAAATTACTCAAAAATACTAATAAAACATTGCAATGAAATGTTAGCCATTACAATGCACTTTGTCGTCGAAATTATGACCTCAAACCACACTGTTTTTTCTAGAAGTGGTGTTGTAAAGCAATGAATAAAAACCATCTATTATGTCCTTAAAACAAACTATTACTCATTTAGGAGTATTTTCTGTAGTTCCTTCGTAAAATCTTAATATTGTATAGAAAGACCTATTGGCTTTCTGTATAGAACCGGCTATACACCTGTACTTCAACGCGAGCAAAAATTATGCCAATGTAGTCTTATTATTATTAAAACACTTTTCGGGCTCTAACAGTTTCCATCGTTACGAACAAACAAATGTACACGATTTTATATCGGAAAAAATAGTTGCATTTCCAATATGTAGTAACCGCGAAAACCTGAGAAGTGTTGAATGTTCAAAATGATTTTGACGTTAACTGTACTGTAACTGCTGTGATCTTTTTTGATGATGATCTGCTTCGTATGGCTGACTGACCGAAAGACGCTGATTGACAGACTTATTAGCTGGTAATGTCATCAGAATTAAACGACTTAACCAGACTGGTCTAATAAACAAATCCTCAACCTAGACTTCTTTTCAGGACCTGAGGACTTGTTTAATAAAATTTGACGACCTCTGTAGTCGAGTGGCTTGCACACCGGTTTTCACATCTCTGGAAGACCCGTTCGATCCCCGGTCGGGTCAATGTAGAAACTAATTTTTCTGTATTGTGTCTGGTCTGGGTGTTTGTGGTACCGTCGCTGTTTCCGATTTCCATAACACAAGTGCTTTATTTACTTTATGACCAGAGCAACGTACGTGATGTATCATCATCAGCTTACACGCATCCACTGCCGGACATAAGCCTCCCTTACGTGATGTATATTTAAAATAAAATAAACTACTAACAATTTCAAAGTTGCCGTAGGTACAGATTTCCTGACACCCTGAATTTTGTATCGTGATTATAATTAACAATTACAGTCGTTATGAAAACGTCACTAATTTATGTGTGTAATTGATTCTACTATTAAATAATTAGGTATCGATTACATTCTATTTTGTCATTACGAACGATGTAGGGAAGGAAGTTTAGAAATGCGGAAATTACGTGGTACACATTTGGATTAGTTCCGAAATTATACGAAAAAACGTGGTTTACAGTTTTGTATAGAGAGTTAGAATGTTTTATTTACCAATGCGGTCCGTTGTATTTTTAGGCTACTTTGAATAAACAAATATTTCGGGTTCTTTATAGGTACCATGGTCACGGCTGACTATTTGTTTGTGAAAAAAAATACGCTGTTTAGATCCGAAAAAACTAGTTTCATTTCTTATGTGTAACAGTCGCTTAAACCTATTTTTACGAAAAATGTTGCCTCATTTCATATCGAAGCGGGAAGGCGGCTTGTAACTTACTTCGAGTGTAGATGATAAAATTCTTTCATTGGTTTATAGGCTGATATCACAGATAGTCGCAAGACAGAGAAAACTATTAAAAACCTATCTAAAAGATAACGACAATTTTCGATATGGTACAAGGAATGTCTGTGTAAACGAGTTCATGTATTCCAGTCTTTGCAAACGGTAGCAAAATATTGGAACAATCATAACATTATCATGCTTATTCCCGTTTGAAACAAAACTCCCGCTTATCTAGAATATAATGCGAACAATGGTTCAAACAATTTGTTTCGTAAGTACCTACTTTGTGTAAGTACTTGTATATGTTAATATAATAATTATAACACAAAGTATTGTATTGCTAAAAAACACATTACTTCGTGAAATTTTTTATTAACCGAAAATAAAGGAGGAGGTTCTCAATACGACTGTATGTTTTTTTGTATGTGTGTTACGCGATAACTCCGGTATTTGTGAACCAATTTTCATGATCCTTTTTTGTTGGAAAGAGGGTACCTCCATAGTGGTCCCATTTAATTTTGAAGAAAATCACCCACCTCTAAGGGTGGCTGTTCACGCATGAAGATTCATTTTTATAAATAGCGCCTAAATTTTAGTATCATGAGCAATTATTTTAATGGTTGATTTTGCTATTCTTTCATTCAAGGCGTTTTTCATCTCATTTTCGTTCATCATCTCCTGTGTCAAGTCCCGTACAGTGGCGAACTAGGGGATGAATCCGGGTTTGCGCACTTTCCGGTAACCGATTTCAATAAACTTGGTAATTATTTGTAATTCCACGTCCTTTTGAGGTCGGTTTTTTTAACTTTGTACTGAGATTATTTTCCTTTCAAAAACGGGTCATTCGGTATCGGTTTAGTATGGGATTTCTTTTTGGTATTTTTTTTATTTTTTTAATTTGTTCCATCTACGACAAAGTTCCCTGTGTATGCGTAGCTACAATATGATTCCGTACATCAATCATCAAGGCCAAGAAGTCACCACCCACTGCTGTCTGCTGAAAATTAATTTTAACACTCACTTTTTGGAATTATAAGCTTTATGGCATTTATCCCGGATCCTCAGATCCTAGAACTTCTAAATTAAAAATTAAAAAAAAAACCTGCGCCTCATTTGACGCTACACGACATCTATCCATAACAGTCGCAGTGCCACTCGGAGCGTTAAATCGCAAAAATCTGAGGGGCACTGCCTGTAATTTCACCAGTACCCTTACCTTTCAAAACCGGTACACAGTAATGCTGACATTACCGCTTCGCGGCAGAAATAAGTAAGGTGGCACCCTGGATAAACTCACAAGGAGCTCTACTGTTAGGTACTCAATCCTAAATTATTATCTGAAATAAAAAAAAACTTTGGTCTTTCATGAGAGCTCAAAACCTTATTTTAAAAACATGGTCTGTACATATAACACAAGGTCACCTATATGCTATTCAAACAGTTCTGATCCTTTATCTGTACCGTTTTGCATGAACTCCTGTAACTATTAGTGACAGGTCTTCTCTGACGAGAGGATCTATGCCGTCAACTGCCACGTTGATCTCGAAATAGATGAATTTAAACATCATTCATCATCCAATAATTCGTCGCATTAAAGTGAGGAAATAACGCTATTATTGATGCTTTAAACACTTATGTATCATTTACAAATAGTCCTATACTGATATCCTTATCAATTAGCAGCCAGGAAACAATGGGCGATATTATTGCACTCTTAGCTTCCTAATGTGCAGAGTTTTGCGTATAAGTAATACGTAAAACGCAAAATACGGACAACGAACCATACATTACACGATTAAAGTATATTGTGACAGTGTTTGAATACACAATATTTGTTATCGCGGTTTTAAAATTCATACTAAATTGAGTGGAGAACCCGATGCTCATATCCGTAAATCTGTGTTAAGTAGGAAACAATTTATGATTTTTTTTGCAATTTTATTTGTATTAAAATGTTGTTGGTCCTTAAACTTGTAATCGTGATACCTATTTTTTATGTATTTACTATTCGACTGATGGGCAGAAAAGAATAATTATTATAAATCTTAAATTAAGACGTCTTGGGTCTTCTTGTTAGTAATATAAAATAATAATAACATTTAAAGCGTGAGTAATAAATACAAAATAATAATAACAATTTAAAACTTAAGTGTGTTGTTAGTAGGCACATAATTGCTCAAAACCGAAAATATACAAGTCGCTCGAGGAGCTGACTACTATATCACTTCATGAAAACCTGGATGAAATAAAGCAGAAATCGGTGCATCTAGCTTGGCAGCAAATATTTTCAGGATGCTGTTAGAATTTGTACGCAGAGTGCCTAGTAGAAGCATAATAGACGTTCCTCACACTCATAGATGGCGCTACGACTAAAAAGTCGTTGAAAAACCAAATACAAAGATATGACACAAGCACATGGAACAATTCGTGAGGTCCGTTGGTTCGTTCCGTGGCTTAGTTGGTATAGCGTCTGGCGCGGTATGCAAGAAGACGTCGGTTCGAATCCGACCGGATCGAAGGAATTTTTTCTGAGTGTTCTATCTTTGTATTAATAATTATAACAAATTAGTGGAGTAATTTCCCAAAAAATAATTGAATATCAATTCAACAAAAATTTAATTAATTGTGTATTTTATGTTGTTTCGAATATGATCGATCTTTGCCATATTATCATTGGCACATTGTCACACAGAGTCATATTATCATTTCTCATTTTGTGTACTGATAAGTGTAGGTACCTAAACATAGAAATAATTGCATTGCTTTCTCTTCTTTCAGCCTACTACAAACAACGGAGGATTTATGAATTCGAAAAACCCATTTCTCTGATGAGCCCTGCAACCAACTTACGAGTAAGATATCAAAGAACAAAATTAACAAAAAGCACAAATCGAGCTACAAATTTTTATTTTAAACGTAGGTGGATAATTTATTAATATTTTTCAAGTTTTTACTATTAATCATTTGTTTACGAATTCTTACAACAATGTGCTTATTATGGTTGTAAACTTAAGTGCCTAAATCTGCCTTAAATTTTAAAATTTTACAATGAAATTTATTACAGAGGTGTCTAACCTTTCGCACATATTTTTAGAAGCCATTTTTAAAATTCACAGTATTGTCTTATCGATCTTATATTAGTTGTAAGAGAACTAACATTGTAACTTTCTCACCTAAGGCGAGTAAGTAAAAGTATTTCCTGCCACGTCACGATTGTGTATTTTTAAATTCGAGCTCTCCGTGTACAGTGGAAAACCGAAAGATCCGACCATACTTCAACTGGTGATAATTTAATAACACTATTTTGTGTGGAGAACGAAAAAAAATTTGCTTGATTTATTTGTTATCGTCAGTAATCTTTAGCTGCAGTATTGTCGAACCTTTTTGTATAATCCTGTATAATCTCAAGGTCTTGAGGATTAAAAATGTTTATACTCGGCTTTTAAAAATGTGTGCAGATAAGACACCACAGTATTTTAAAATTGCTATAGTATTTTGAATGTTAGATATTAACACGAGAGAGTATAGTGTGAATGAATTGTGGAGTATTGAAGACGTTGGTCCTAGCTTTATTCTAAATTATTTTATAGTTATAGTGTCAAGTGTATGTTGAATCAGGCAATCTTAATAATGCGCTTTGTGTTTAAGTGATGGTTTGATAAAGTCTTTCCGTCGCAACAATGTAAACTTAATTAACATTGATGTTATTTCAAATTAACACTTAAGACAAGATGTATTCATTCAATAAATTTGCGTTCAAATATTGGCAACCCTGAAAGTGCCTACAGATTTGCTCGATTTTTGAGGGTCGTTACTATCACATTAGCGATGAATAAATATTAAGGTTAAAATCGAACAAAATTTTTTATTAAGTTACACCACAGGCCGAAGGTACATGTGAATGCGTGTTATAGATGACGAGTTGCCTCAGACCTGTTTTGGCGCAGTACAACGCTGTAAGGGGGAAGTTACCTTCTGTTTATATTGTTTCAATGCCAAGGTAATGTACCTGATGTATTGGTGTAACGTAATTATCTTTAATGTGTTTATAAGAGGCCTCTCAAGATCTTTAATTTTATCATAAGAAGAGGCTCGTCTGTGGTAACGCAGACGCGTCTGTAGCGGTGCATGGATAGTCCAGTGCTCGGCGATGGGTGCGCAAACTTTGGCAAGCCAAACTTCAAACGCCAAATTTTATTACCCCAGCCCAAGTCTTCACCCGGGCACGAGTTGCAGTGGTCAATATGGAAATCCCTGAATCGTCTCAAGTTACAAGAGTTGCCGATGTAGTGATAATATGGTGAAATGAAGATATATCAACCCGACACAAAAACATTGTGCTTGCGGATCCGCCACACATGTCTCACTTGCTTCCATATCCACTGTGTCCTACAAGGCAACAGATTGGGGGAATAAAGGTGGCTGCTTACTGGGCCAAAAAAATATAACATTGATTTTTTGTTGTTTTTGTCATTGACTGGACAAGAAAACGTTAATTATATGAAAAGAGCGGAGTCATCCGCTATGCGAATGGGAATCTGTAAGTCACTGACCGCGTGAGGCTGTCTTATAGTGCACTCGTATATAGACGTTTGCTTCTAAAGTATTCTACACCATATTGTGTTACGATGCAAGAACGTTTGTAGTTTTGGTATGTGATGCGTTATTCGCTGAACGCGGAACACTGCACGCTTTTATGCCGATCACGTCCGTATCCATTGGCCCATGGCAGAAGACTGCTATGTTTCGCTGCGTGTAAATATTGCTTAATGCGTAACACAATAACTTTGCCGTGCCGAACCGCGCTGGCACCGCTTCGCTCTGCTGTAGTGCAAGTCTACTGAGTGCGGTTCCACCTTTTGTCTTGTTATAATTTAGTTGAGTGGTAGATTGCCCAATACGTCAGCATACGCGAAGTCATCGCGCAACTGTCGTTTTATTATCGAGAACGCGCTAAGGTACAAATTTATATACTGAGTACAGTAATATGATTCATTCCTGAATTTCCTTCCAATGTATTACCGTAGCATGTGGTTTCACTTGCGAGGGGAGGTAGCAATGATTCCGCTCTGATTTGCCACTCTGCCGTCAACGCTGTTTTATCAAAAGTCCCACTGCGGATAAATCTTGCTAGTGTGACTGTATATGTGGAAGGCTACTAGATTTCAGTTGGCAGATATTGCGTTGTTATTACAGCTAACCGAAAGTTCGAGACGTACATAACTTGAGAAGGTTTCTCCAGTCGAAAACTACTTACTGCCGAATTGACGTCGGAGTGACAAAGTCAAGCGGAAACATTATTCCTGCCCACCTAATAATTACGGTGGCATTATATATAGTTCCATCACAAATTTGGAACATACACACTTTTTGCTTAGACTGATTTTCGAGAGAATACGTATATAGTAATATGTTAAACGATACTCTTCACTGGAGACTCTGTTTTACTAGAATTCATTGTTATATTTTTTAATATTGTCACATTAGATTACGACTTGGTATAGCAGCATTTTTCTGAAAACCGAATGCAGCGAACTAAATCTATTGTTATCCTTTGCCGTCCCCGCGGAAGCATGCCCAGCTAGTAGAATATAAATTCACTAGCTTAAGAACTTTGGAAAAGATAATCTGAGAATTTACTACAAAATTTACCTATTTGCGATAGAAACTTGTGAACCAAAATGTGCCTTAGGTACTCAACTGGGGGTCGAATGAATATTATAATTACATATTGCCCTGTGTAATTAGGAACATGCTAGCGACTTGAGTACTGAGAATATGAAAGGTAGTGTCAGGAATGAACCAATAAACTCTGAATAAAAACGTATTATTAGAGGGATAGGACTTATCTTAGGAAAGTGATAATTTGAGCTTGTAATTGAATTTGATCCGTAACACGCTTAAATAGGTGAGCCTTTTGAAATTTCTGTTGATTCTGAGGCCTAATAAATTAAATCGAATTCGAATTTAATTAGAACTTTTTGGCGGTATTTTTTTATCCGTATGACTAATTGATTTACTTATTTTGTACTGAATAGAATTTAGCAGGTTTGCACATCGTTATGTTTGTTGTTATTGTTTGTGTTTGTAAATCAATATTGATCAATACTTCATTACTTGATTGTAAGCTGTTACTAGATCGAGTAAGTGTGTTTGTAGCGCCAAAATTCAACCAAGTAATCTTTATTAATTTTTTGAAAGCTTCTTACTTAGAAGTTTAACAAGCTTTTTGTGTGATCGTTTGGCATAAATCATTATTTACCGTGTCAATGATCAACACTATATGCTTGCCATCTTGATAGTATTCTAAAGAGACCTAGCTACATGCGCCTTGCTTGATGTAGTGAGCGCCTTCATACTTTTAATATACAGTAGTTTTAATGGAACAAAGTCTTTTATCCTCATTAATAGTACCCAATATGTGGGAAAAGCTCTCAAACTATTATTTGCTTCGTCTGTGATTGTAATCAGTAATTTTTTATTTTCAATGAGCTAACTTGAACAATTTTATTTTCATATTTAACGCACTTGACTATTTATTTAGTTGAATGTAATTGTTTTTTTTTACTATTTCAGCACTGAGATCTGTTAACTTGTATAAAAAAGGTGTAAATTTTAACCACTATTACATTTTTTTAAATAAATTAAATGCATTTTAATTTTACTTATGAGTTTCATAAAAAATATAAGTTATGGTACCTATTCTTGCATTTATTATTTTAGAAACAGTTGCTTTCACTAAACACTGGTTCAGCCTTTAAAATAACTTTATATTTACAAAGTGTTAGGTTAATCACATTTTATATTTATTATTTCTCGAAAATACTGGAGTCGAAAAGTTGTCAGGGGTGGCATTGAGGCTGGGCAATGGTGTTTTTGGAGTGGCATGTGACGTTGATACTATTGATGCGCTTTTTATAGCTTCGGGCAAGTAGTCCGGAAGGGTAGCAGGTGGCGACGATGGTGCCGAGAGCCGCTTTTCTGATATAGTTTTTAAAATATTTTTCCCAGCTTCTTTTATCTGAAATAAAGAATTATGTACTGTAGAGGTTGTAGTTATATAAATTAAATTAATAGACAGTACCAATGACTAAAACCTACATCAACATGCACCACTTACAATGGGGACTTCTCTGAAATAGCGGATCAGTGTCTCTACCATGAGATGACAGTTATGGCTAGTTACCGCCTAAAATGTTTGTATGCAAAATGTTGTTTCTTCTTGTGCCAGGGAGCTGTGTAATTTGCCATCATCTAGCACATTTGCCATACAAAATAGTGAAGTAATTTATGCCGGTCGCTAGCGACACCTGTCACAGTAAACTCGTGGTAGAGGCACAGATGTTGCATATAAGATGGGAAAAAAATAAAGGAAAGGAGCTGCCCTAACTACAGAATGAACGTGCATATCTAAACAAAAATTTAACGCTACAAATGGCGGATTTCTTTTGTGTTGTACCATAATCTATCGATAAGTCATTATCGATATGCAAATGTATGGCTTAAATGTTGAAACTGTTTTTTTTTGTTTCTTTAGGTTACTGTAATCAAAGTTCGATTAAAACATTTAATTAAAGTAGATCAATATTCCATTTGGGAATATCTTGTTATATTTCTGCGAATAATCCTGATTATTATTATTATAGAACAAGATGACAATTTGTTAATTTATATCATTGACTTACAATTATATGTACTTTCTTTGTTTTGTGTTAATTGTGGCAAGTTTTTTGAATTGCGTTAAATATCCAGTATGCATTTCATATGCAGACGGATAAACGTGTGAACGCTATTGGCCGAGCGCCTTTGATTTGTGATAAGCGCCAAATGAACTCTATACACGTTGGCGTCCACCTGCACTCGGTCAGCTAGGCGAGTGACACCGAACGATGGCAAGACAAGGCAAATAGGCTATCCACACGTTGGTATTGGCCTTCACCCAGCAACGTTGGATAAACATGTCATTGTTATTTAAAAATAGTAATTTTTAGTATTAGAGGCGTCAGCGGAAAAAAATCGGAAACGAGTGGATAATTTTGTTTTCACGAACTGAGAATGCCTAGTAAATGAGTCTTGTTGAATCTAAATTAAATATAGAATTATTTACCAAAGAACCTAATGATGGAATTGCATTATCTTGTAATCTAGTTACATTCAAAGTTCTGTTAAAATTTGATTGAAATGAAACGAATAAATGAAGGTCTTTGATACAATGTTGATTTGTTTGACATTTGATGTACTTCCCCTTGATTACCGCATCATGTACCACATGTACTGCGAAATGAACACAGTTGGCATTTAAGATGACGTTACGTATTATTTTTGATTCCCGTGTTTGGCACAGACCAATGTAATGCTATCTCTTTTGGTTTACGACGGCACGCAGTAGTTAGATAAAGATAATAAGCATGTTTATGTTTTGAATGTCGAAATGCATCATATCATATAACGTCTAATTCACACATGTCAACATAACATGTCGACAGTGTGGGTTGAGCCTTAGGCCATGGCGCTACACTATTACTTAATTTCATTAACAGGACACGTTTTTATTCCTGAAATAGCCTGCGAGTCAAAAGAAGCTTTGTCTCTAAATTTATTTCTCGCCAAAACCAATTTTAGATTGATAAATATTCGTAAAATTCACAGATTTTTAAAAGTAAGTGACATCTAGTGAGAGATTTAGTTTAGAAACCTTCTCACCGCACTTCCTACGGCGCTGAAAGGCAAAACACCAGTACAAATATCTCTAACAAAAACACACCTGTAGCTTTTTTTTATAATACGAATTGACGGGACAAACAAGTAGGGCGCCTGATGGCAAGCTACAAGCCTGTCCATAACAGTTGCAGCGCCACTCTCTAAACTCTCACACTCTTTAAATAACAAAGATCTGGGGGGCACTACTACTGCGCCCGTCACCCTGAGACATAAGTTGATAAGTCCCATGTGACCGTAATTTCAGTAGGTATAACGCTACGGTACAGCGTGGTCGTGGGTTCAAGTTCCATCAGGTTGAAGAAATTTTTCTTTGTGTTCGATCTTTATATTAATAATCAAGCAAAATAACGTGTCCAACATGATGATGATGTTTTAACCATTTTCTAATTTTGTAGGTTTCAAATCACTTAGTTTGTTTATGAAATGTCGAGTCGATGACACTACAATTTGGCAATTAATAATCGAAATTTTCGAGTTTTGGATCCACTACCGCAATTCATTTTGCATTTTGGTGACATTATTTTTTTCTTTGAAAAATGTCAATCACGCTGATTTTGCTTAACAATAAAAGAAACTAAATAAGAATTTAAAAAAATCGCTTGCAGATCTCGTTTCGCCGATTCCAGATTACGTTAATAACTCAATTTCGTTAAAAATTTCGATTACCTATGTTATTTATGACAATAACAGCCGAAATCTACACCTGTATTACTTACACTCTCATGCTCCAAGCATTTATAGGCATAGTGAGCTGCGCGGTCCAGTAATGTGAAACGGAGATAATATTGCGCGAGATATCGCAGCGCCACTGGTAACTCCTTGCTGCCAGCGTTCACAGGATCCTGACACGCCGCCGTATACGCAGCTGCTGCGCTGTTCGGCATGTTGCATTTCTCGTATAATCTAACAAAAAACAGGCTGGCGAGTTAAATTTGAAACTTCATTTTGAAAAAATGTGGAGAACATTTCAGAATAAATTTGTACTGACAAAATCTATCACAAAAGTCAGTCCTAACTTCACCTTCGTAGGGTAGAAAAGTAATTCAAAATAACGGAGTTACGTTTGGCTATATGTATATTAAATAGTAAAACGATAAAATGCATTAAAAACTAACAATATGGAATTAGATGAATCATATTTCTGTAGGTGACAGGTAAAGAACCTTTTCATCACACTTGCTCGTACATGGTAGTATCATTGCATGGTGGCTAACTTGACTATAACGCCCCAAATAAAACGACCACGCCCACCGGCCTTTTTCTTTCCATTGGAGCCATGGTCGGTAAGGAGGTTTTATAATTTGTGGCACGACATACTTCCTTACATAGATCAGGTTCAAGTACAAGCTAGGTAACTTATATTCAAAATTAAAACATTCACTTAAAATGTTATAAAAACAGAAATTTAATTATAATTCAGCCACATATTACAATAAATATTTATTTATTATTAAGAATTTCTTATATATTTTATTATATAATATTATTGATTTTAATTATAAACTGTTTAAAAAATTTGCTAATTTTTATTTACAATCCATCACGGCTATATGCGTGTGCGCTTTGTTTACAACATTTTAGTTCGAGTCGTATTTCCTATGGAAGAATATAAAAAAAAACCGCCATTTGTCAAATCAATACAATTGTTGTGTTGTGATTTGTGAATCATATTTATATTGTATTTGTTTTATGTACAATACAATGTACTATTATAGGTGCCAATAAATAATTTTTACTACTGTATTAGAGAACGAGGCTCTTATTTAGACATTTAAAATCAATCTTAAGGTCAAATAAAACATGTTAAATAAAAAACGAATGACAATAGGATTTAAGGTTGTTTACCTCTCACTAACAGATTTAATAAATTCTCACAGCAGTCTTATTCTCTCAGTAGCTGTAAATGCTAAAACTACTGGTTTTGCAGCTGTTAAAAATGTATTTTTTTTTGTCAAATAATCTATTCCTATAACAACAAGTTTAATCACATAAATGCAAAAGTGAACTTACTTGGCCAATTTGAACAGAGCCATGCCCTCAATATCTCCTGTACTATGAGCTTTATAGTAACACTTCAAGGCGTTGGGTATTTTATCCATCTTCTCATAAGCTTCTCCTAATGAGACTAGCATTCTAGAGTCGTCGGGCTTCAGCTGTGCAGCCCTCGAATAGTAATATATGCAGTACCCGTTCAGACCAAGTATTTCATATGCTTGGCCAAGACCATTCCAAGCTCTATAATCATTTCTATTTACGTCTGTAAGAATAATTTTGAAATAGAAAATTGCGTAGAACAATTATAAATACAGGGTTATTTGATAAATACTAACAAACTGGTAGGACTATATTACTAACATCAAAAACACCATCTTTTGTTACATAACTTTTTGCAAACATACATTTTTAAGTTTTTGGCACTATCTGGCATTTTTAAGATGTGTAGGTGGTAAGTTCAAACGTGCAAGTGTCCTACCCGACGTTCCCCACCCGCGCTGCTGCATTTTGCAGAGCGTTCACTATTTAGAGCGATCTATTTAAATATTTTAATTTTTGTATGAAAGTAAAATGTGATGAATTATTAATAGTCGTGGAAGAAAAGTTACTGTTTACGACGTCCCGCAAGGTTGTAAGTATTATAATGCGATTTCTACGAGGAAACAAGTACGCATTCCTTCGTTTTTCCGTAAAAGGCGGAATGCTTGTTGAAATAGTATAACGTTCAAGGGCTCTTCAAATGTGCTAGTAGCAGTAAACACAAAACTTTTAACTCATTAAAATTTTACAGATGTAAGTTAAGTCACTCTTTCACTGACGTACCATGTGTTTAGTTTTAATTATTTATTTGATGCACATGTAAATGGGGTGCACGAAAGGAGCCTCTCCGCACGATTTCCTATACGTTTGGTGTAACCTGGGCAACAATTGGTGAGTACCATATGGCGACTGGCAAATCCTTTCACCACAATGGCAGGAATTAATAGTGTACGGCGTCGTTATAAGAAGATACGTATTCAATTTCACTTCGTATCCTTTTTTGTTTTAGGAAAGTTCTTTAGAACAAATAAGTTCCTCTGGCTCTCTGACCGTTCTTCTGATTTATTTATTAAAACGATTATTTTGCTCGTACTTACCAATAGCCTGTCTGTAGCACTGTATAGCAGCATTTGAATTCTGTAGTTCAATAAACTCATGCCCCATGAGGATCCAAGCTGAAAGATACTGTGGGTCCAAAGCTAGTGCTCTTTGGAAGTTCACTACTGCTTTCTGATGCTCATTTCTTAGACTGTAGTAGTTTCCTGGGAAATAGATTTTACTTTTTTTTTTTTTTTTTAAAGTAAAGAAGAATCGATGACGCGTTTATTCGCGGAACTCATGGTAATGAATAAAATTTCATTCACCGGGTTTTACAGTGACACTTCACCACGAGGTTAAGAAAATTAAGTCAGTTTGTGCAACAAGAGCTGTGTTATCAGTGTTACCACAGAAAGTTCTATATTAACTTGCCGAGCTGTAAATATGTCAGCTCTCAGTCGTCTTATAGAAAGATATGATTATACTACTCCAGTGGGTTCCATACATTTTCATTATATAAATGTATTAAAATCTCCTTCAAATTACAGCGGTATTTTGGATTCGTAAATCAGATTACATTGAATATGTAAACAGCTGTCTGTCCTACCTATAACACAGCAAGTTTCAACTCTATACTTGTTAATGGAGACAGCTCTCTGGGCCAGTTTGGCGAGGTCCATCCGCTTCTCTTTCAAATATAATAGATGAGAATATACATCCCAATTATCCAGTCTGTAGGGGTCAACTTGACACAGTTCTCGGAACAATGCTAATGATGAGTCTACATCTGGAATTTATAACATTTTAAGTTAATTATTTGTATTATAAAGATGATATATTTGAATCTTCACAAAGTTTTTACACAATATGAGCTTTCATAATAGACAAAACAACCTTACAATTTTGACTAAAACTTAAGTACTTTTTATGTTACAACTTTTACCACTAAAATTTAAATTATGTTTGTGTAAATCACAAAACTATTTCTGAATGAAATACAGACACAAGTTAAGTTAAATAATTAAAAAGTCGAACCCAAGGTTGTTATGTTACCTTATATTTTAAGGCTTTACATTTAAGGTTTTTAGCAGATTTTCTTTCAGTCATTCAGTGAATGTGGCTCTGAGAAGCCATTTCAATTAGGGGATATTTGGGGAGTCAAATGTCGTGTTGGGTGAACCATTGACGAAGAGGGCTAAAACTCTATACACGTATGTGAGGTCTTGTCTCTCACTACGAGGCGACACGATATAGTAGAACAACATAACCCACAGGGATTGACATCACAAGGCCGACATTGACACCCAAGTGTTACAGGTCTTATTAAAAATAAGATAAAAAAAAAATTTGTAACACATCATGACATACTGGGGCTAGTATTAATGTTTGTATTGTAGTTTGAAGATTTGTAAGTCTTACCTCTCCTGTCATGATGAGCAATGGCCATTTGAGCAGTAATATAAGTGCTTTTATGGAACCCAGCTGCAGCCAGCGCTGTATATGCCTCAAGGGCCTGATCAGAGAGTTTTAGCTCCACAAATGCATGAGCAGCAAAGAAGTACATCATCCAGTGTTTTGGGAGCTGCAACAATTAAAGGACTGAAATTTATATATTTATTCATTCATTAGTAGTTATTTTTAATTAACATTAAGGTTGTGTCATCAGTTTTAAATATATCCGGTATTTTATTATATATTAATATTAGAAGGAGATATTTTAAAAACATAACAATTGGGATGTAGAAAAAAGGGTTAATTAAAATTTGAGGATCATTTTTAACAAGTTCAAATAAAGAGAAGTGTGTCTAGGATGCACAATTTAGAATCTATGGCCGGCTGGAAACTGTTTTCAAAAATCTTCTGTGTAAGTTTCATATAATTTAACAAAAATAAAATTTCTAAGGTCCTTAGTTTTGATACTGTGATCCCGCATGATACTTCCATACTGGAGCCAGGTAAGAGTATACATATACGTAATAGGCAGCGTTCCAAACTTTAGAAAAAGAATATTATATAAAAACTATGAAAACTTTGTACGATGCAAGGTTGCTGTTATGAACTGTGTATAAAGGAATAAATAATATTAATTCACTTGTTCAAATTTATCACATTCCAATGAGAAAAAGTACAGATGGCAGCATATCAAGCTTAACATTGACAGACTTTGTTCTGTTGCTCTAGAGGGACATTCAGACAAAAGTGTATAGCTTGATGTGCTGTTGACTGTACAGATTGGATGGAATGCTGATGTCTCCATTTTACGATAGTGCTAGTACAATGCAATAACTGCTTATTTAGGCAATCACTTTCCTTGTGAGAATAACTTATGGTGCACGTCTTCAACAGAAATTATTTTCAAAGGTGTCCAGTTTAGATAAGCAAATTATCAATGGTTTCAATGATGATCATTACCAGAAACAAGTACGTCATAGAATACAGTAATACCCCGCTTTGCGCGACCCCGCATAGCGCGATTTAGTTATAACATGATTTTCAAATTTCATGTTAAATTACACCGCTTTATGTGGATGCATTGATTTGACCACATAAATCTGAAGTGACAGTTCAGAATGTATTATGATGAAATGCAATTGTGGAAGAGTTGTCTAAGATTTATTCAGGTCTTGAAATCCTAGAAAACCTAGACAGTGATGTCGATCGTGTTTTGTTTTTCCACACATCAATACAAAACGCGACCCATAAAACTTTAGACAACTATTTCACAAAAAAGATAAGGTCACATTTCTTTATGCAATAATTTTTTGAGGGTTTTTAATATACACAAATACAGCATATTCATTACAATATTTACCTTGTTATTCAATCGTACCTCATTATATACCTGGTAGCAGTCATGTCAAGGTTGAGACCCTAAGGCGACCAGAAATCTATATCTATAATACCAGGCTGGCCACACATCAAAAAGAACAACCCTGTTTTACTGCGAATTTCCCTTAACACCATTTTGTATTAGCAAATTCTTCAAGGAAAGGAAGATGCACTTTTCCCATTTGGCTAGTGTAATGTATGGGTTAGCACTTGTATGAGTTAAGCCCCAACAGAAGGCAATAAAAATTATAACCTACTTGTAGAGCATCCAATGCTTCATATTCATTGGCTAAGCCTGCCAGTTCTACCCAAGCAGCCCAGAGAGTTGGAGCAGCAGCTATTGCTGCTTGGAGGATGGTTACAGCTTGCCCTCGAAGATCTAACTTCTTTAGGACTACGCCTTCCAGATAGAGTAAATACCCATCTAGATTGTTGCGGTTGGCCTGAAAATTAGGAAAAAATCATCAGCAAAATCAAAATCGTCAGCCATGACCATGGGACCTGTAAAGGGCCCGAAACGAAGATTTAGATGTGAAAAAATTGTTTCATTTCCAATTAAGAAAAGTGTTAAAGAAGCATTTATTGTACCCTCTGCCTATTATTATTATTTATACCGTTACCATATAAAATAAAAAACAAACCTTAAAAAATGAAAGTAAGTCAATCAGTACTTGTGTTGACTCGGTGTTCTCTGATCCTAAGTCTACATTATTATCCAATCTTTTCTTTTCACTCGACATGTACTGTGAGTATTTGAGAAGGAATACGCACTTGGGACTTGTGCAATTTTCAATGAAATTAGCAGCTCTATCATATTCCTGACAGTCAAAGTAACTCTTTGCCAGCGTATAAGATTCCTTTTCTTCTTGCAGTATACCGTCGTCGTAAGCACCGCTAGGCTCCTCGTGAGTTATTTTATGGTCTCTCAATGCGTAATTTAATTCAGCAAGCCACTTAGTGGTTTGGGTTAATCCACGGTCACTGCATTCCCGTATTCCGTGCAGAATATCTATCCGAACTTGGTTCAAATCGATTTGTGCATCGCCTTTAGTGTTTAGTGATAAAGGTTGCATGGTTAAACCTTATTAAATTTTGGATTAAAAGGTGAAAATATCAACGCAAAGTTAAATTCACCGTCCCGCCGCCGCCGGCCTAATCAATTATATTTTTTTTATGTTATGGCTTATGGCAATAGAGCTTTGACTTTTTGCCAATTTCAAGTTAAAAGGTAGGGAAACAGGAAAAGAATTGGAAAAGTAGCAGGATTTGGAAAAAATGGATCACAAGAGTTGCTATATATGTATTGTAAATATAACAAGGTTAAGGTTATAAATTAATATATACATATTAATCATGTTTTAATATCATTGTACAGGATAAAGGAAGATAAAACATTATAGTAGGTACGTACATGGATGTGATAGTAAACAGGACAGACGGGTAGGAAAGAGGAACGATACGATCGTAGCGTGGGCAGGAAAAGAATATGTGATCGAGGTCTCTCGTATCGTTTCCACATTCACACTGGTCGTTATTCACAATATTTGTAATCTAGTCAAGTGTGCAGGTGTGCACACATGGTCAAGACGCATTCGTACAATAATACTAGTAATTGTTTTATTGCATTCTATCTGAGTAAACCAGGGTTTTTTAGGATATGAGGCTGTACTTTAAAATATTGTTTGTCTTTCGATTGAGAGGTTTCAGTTAAAAGTTTTTCCCAGCAGCTTGGTTTTGATTGCCTCTCCCGAACGGAAACTGCGTCTTTTCCGAGTCGAGGTGTGGAAGTTAAATCATGGCAATAAACGATATAGGGTAAAGCGACGCAGATTCATGCACTTTTTTAACTGCAATTTTGGGCTACTATATCAAATTATAATGAATAGTTTTTCTACCTAATTGAAGATGTAACTAATAAACATCACTAATTTAATCTTTTCTTATATAAATAGCATTGAACAATTGAAAAATTTTGATTAAAAAAAAAATGAGGACTGTCCAATTCTGCTCCACCTGTGGGGTACTTTGATACATCATCGCTTAGGGAACTTAGATGTGTGAATCAACGTAGTGTGCCATTCCTGGTTGCCACGTATTATCAGCACTGGGTGATCACCTATTCATGAAGTATGACGCTATATGTGCCTTAGCACTTGCTAGATCAAGACTTCTTTCTAGGGCACCTTTATTATTTAGGTCATTAAGTGAACATATATGTTCTTCAAGAATTTGTAGCTTATGGAAAAGAGGATGGTGACAAAACTGAAAGGCTTTAAATAAAAATTTACCACTTAGAAGTTGTCTTCTTAAGCTAAGAAGGGGCTCTGAACATTCAAACTGCTTGGCATTGGTAGGTGATGATTTCATGGTACCTAAAATGGGTGTCAGTGCTTTATACTAAATTAAATCTAACTTCTTAAAGGCTGTTATGTTACCTCCTTGAAGTAAAAATGCACCATAATCGAGTACACTCCTTATCAGAGCATTGTATATTAGTCTTAATGAAGTTGGGTGAGCACCCAACCAAACCCCTAACAAACAGTTTATTACAGTAAACACCTTTTCACATTTTGAGACAACATAGTCGCAGTGCTGACTACCAGAAAGTTTAGAGTCCAATATGACACCTAGAAATTTACGTGAGGTTTTATTTGAATTGGAGTTTCATCTTAAAGGACATTAATATCTGGTGTGACACGTTTCCTTGTAAATAAGACTATGCTACTTTTCTCAACTGATAATTCTAATCCATTTTCATCTAATCACTGTTTAAGTAGATTTAAAGAATGATTTAAAGTGCGGTAAGCTGTATTAATCTAAAGCATTTAATATTACGCCACACTTCAGATAGACATGTTGATATGATATAAACTCCACTTTCCAGTTTTAAACCTATTGCATTCATATTGTGTATAAAATGAGAAGATAATCTTAAATTATGAAAAGAAACAGAGTTTTTCACAAGTATGGCCACCACTCCAGCACAATTATCTATTCTCTAAGACATGTAAAGCCAGGTACCAAGTAAAATAACTGGCTTCAACCATGTCTCAGACAATGCAATAATATTAATTTTATGTTATTAATTATATGAATTAGATAACTTTTTTAGGTGGTATACCCCTGCTGTTCCACTATAGAACTTTTAGATCCATTCTTTTTAGCAATTAAACTAGTGAGTAGGTATTTCAATTATCACAGCAACGTTGGACGGTTTGACTGAATTTTCTGTTAACAAGGTCTTAAATATTGTTGGTGATAATGGTTTATATTATATCCTGATTGTCTAAGCTGTCTACACTTTGATGTTATAATGCACAACCATTTGCTAATCTAGAAGGCATTATCGTAATCTGAAAGAATAGCATGATAAGCTACTTCATCGTACCCTTTCATTACGTTTGGTGGTGAGCGTGGTTTCAAATATATAGTGTTTTTATAGGCTTAAGAATTTTGGGATTGTCCGACATTATTTTTAGTGTTTACTGGAGTAAGATTTGTTGAAACTACATCAGCATATAGTTTACGAAACCGGTCGATGAAGTTTGCAATCTTCCATATAAGATATACTATTATGAGACATAGTTAATTTAATCTCTTTTAGTCGATTCCATTCTGGATAAGTTTTGCTTGTAGCATAATGATACCCTGAACACATCACACACAATGCACAGCTTTCCTCAACATTGCAGCTTTCGCCCCTATGCTCCTGAGCACACATATAGCACCTAGGGCGAGAGCCACAAAGAAGTTTTGGTATGACCATAGCGGCAAAAATTAAAGCATTAAATAGTTGGATACGTATACAGTTCTACTGGGAACTACTTGACCATCAAATGTGAACCCATTTACCTGTGTTTTAAAATTAAGGTGCCTAATTTTAATAATTTGCCCACATCCCGATGGAACAGATACATTATTTAGAATTTCCTCAGGTGTCCACTCAGCTGGTATACCCCACCTGTAGTGATTATGTCTAATTTGGTGTCCACTCAGCTGGTATACCCCACCTGTAGTGATTATGTCTAATTTGGTGACATCGAATGTAGGAATAAATGCACGGAGTTTAAAATCATCTAATTTACTGTTTTTAATGAAGTCATTGGCATCTCTGACTGTAGAGAATGATACAGTACATCTATTGCTTAGACTATTTTTCCTTTATTTTTTTCCATTCTCTAAGATCTATTGCGACTTATTCTCTTGACACTACCAGTGATAATATTTATAAAGCTGTTTTTTTTTAAGAAATTGCGAAAGGTAATAGGATGAAGGTAGGTTCCGTGTTTAGGAGAAACCTCAATTCTTTGTACATGTACCTCATATGGAGCTACATCATGGCTACATCTGATAGAATGTATTATTTCCGACCAATTTGTGTTTTCTGTGGAACCGAGGTAGAGTCTTTGTTCAGTGAATGATTATCACTAGTATCAGGTTTCTTACCACGGTATGACTTCTTTTTATTTTCCCGATATTTCCGTTTCCCGATATTTCGAATTAGTAAGAAACCTGATACTAGTGATAATCATTTAGTGAATAACCACGAAAGTCTTAAAATCTTTGTTCAGTGTTTTGTCATAATCAGTGTGAAAAATTTTTGAAGGTCCCTGAGGGGGTTCTTCAGAGCTTTTTGGGTTTGAAGGTTGTTTAATTGTATTTTCGGTATCTATTTTTGATAATTTCTCCATACTGCCATAGTGTGAATCTAATTCATTTGCATCATTAGTGTTACAGTGATGTTTCCTCTTTCTTTTGCAATATTTTTTTCACTGTACAGACCAATCGGCACTACTTACTGAAATATCAGTGTCCATTTCACTTTCGTTGACAGGTATAGTTACATTGTGACCAACAGGGGGACCTAGATCAGCAGCTTGATTTTGATTGCCTCTCCCGATCGCAAACTGCGTCTCTTCCGAGTCGAGGCGCATAATTGCGATTCACAACTGGCCGATCGGAAACTTTTGACATTTCAAATCGGAACAATAGTTAATTTAACTCACAAATTAGAAAGATATAATAGGAATCAGGTTCATCTTCTCGCCCGGAAATCCATCTGATTTCAAGACTACCCGATCAGTTCGATTCTGATTTGAATCAAAATCAGCATGCAGGGCCTAAGTCCCCCAAAGCAATATCAGGAGGTTCGGTCGCGCAACTCACATAGAGAAAATATTTACGAAACTATCCAGATATACAGCAATATATATACAAATACAATTAATGAATACTACCTTATAAAATATTTACACTACACAACTTAAATGATCGAATCAATCAATAAAAATCAAGTTAAAAAATTTTTGTTACAAAAAGAACCTCCGCCTTGTTAGAAGTTTCCCGCGCTTTTTTAAAATTAAATTTTAACCACTTATTACTATATTCCAACTATGATAAACTCGATACCAGTCTATACTCTCCATATTTACAGTAAAGGCTGCTCCATTACTCTTGTGTTCAAGTAATTTTTATTCGAAGTTAATAGTGGTGCATTTTGTTCAGTAGAATCTGAATGGTGTTTCTGAGCCCTTACATTGATGCAAGCAAAATTAAGCAGTACCACAATGACGTTACAATTTAAATGAAATGTTTTAGTTTTTTTATATTTCGTTAGGTACATAGTACATGTACAGTCAAGAGCACATCAAGCTTGACACTTTGTACTTTGGACTGTTCTTCGTAAGCGGCATAGAGTTGCATTTAAGCCTTAAGTGTCAAGCTTGACGCACTCTTAACTGTACATACATGTTACTACGTTTAAATACCTTCGGACATTTTTTCGTGGTTTTTGTATTAGACCCGACTTCCATTTGGTGGTAGGTCAATGCCTATGATTCTTTTTTTTTCACTGTTGTCCAAGTACGAATCTCGTTTTTTCTAACATGCTTTTAGCTCTACAAAATAATTCACGCTAATTATACATTCAAAAGATATTTCTAAACGTAGAACATAATACGAGTCTTCGAATTATATTTTTACAACTTTTCAGATATCCGGAAAAATTCCATTATTTGACATTTTTCGGAAAATTACCCAAGAGTACAGTCAACACACGGGTAACACGGTTTGTTCCGTAAAGCGCAAAACACATACTGAGATGGCGGGTTTTTTAAGTTACCAGTACAGTTTTTACAAAGATTATTTTTATTTTAAATTATGAAGAAAAAACGAAGAAAGAAATAGTGATGAAGAATGTTAGAACTATATTCCTCATTTTAAATCAAATCACAAGAGACTTTATCCTGAAATTTCCATTAATTACGAATTCAAAGTTACTGTTCAAAGTCATATAAGATAATGTGAATTAAGTGAAAGTAAAACATAAATATTGACTCCCGCCGCTTAAAAAACTATTTAATAAGCCCAAATAAGTGAACTAAGTTATTTAGGAGAAAGTGAAAACATAATGTATTAGAATTTAGAACTACAATGGCAAATATTACTGAGGATCCCGATAATTAAACGAAGACATGGCTCAATAGACTTGTATCCAAGCCAAAACTATTAATAAAAAAAAACATTCTTTGTGATAATTTGGCAAAATTGACAAAGATTCGCTCTGGGCCTTTTGGAGGGAAAAGTGTCGTTTTTAGGATTCGCTCTGGACCTTTTGGAGGGAAAAGCGTCGTTTTTATTTTGACTTTCAATTATTTTGTGAATTCTAGTTTAAAGTGGAATAGGATAGTGCTATTGTGCCTTAATCGAAGATTAAAACGCGAAATTATACGAATTTGGAACTAAAATACCCGTATCGGCCCGTTTTAAGGAATCCCGAGTCAATCCAAACACGCCGCCTCAAATTGCCTATCCTCTTTGTAGCGGCCATGTTTACAGAAACAAAATTAAACTTCATGTTTAGGCTGATGGCTTTGCCAAAGCCTTAATAAATTAAAAAAAAAATCAAAATTGACAAGACGGATTGACGGAAAAGATTTGTCAATTTTACGTTTATCATAGAGTAGCGTGTGTATGTCTGTATTATCTACAAAGTGCTTTTTAACATCACTCCAATTATTCATCCAGGCAGTTGCTCACGCAGTCGCACGTAAAGAGTGTCGCACGGGATTTTCTCAAATAAAAACAATGGCAGAGCAAAACGCAGAACCTGTGACTAATAACACCGAAAACGATTACACGACCCCTGCAAACGATCCCAAGAATATGCAGGAAGTGACACAATATGTAGGGAAACTTTTTATATTTTATCCGACATTGTATTGCTATTGTAAAGCCTTACCAGCAGGTTTACGGCTATGCATTTACATAGAAATTGACATCTGATATTAAGACTAGAGTACATATTAGTGTCGTATTCATTTCAAATTTACTCTTTTAGGTGCAGTCACTTCTTCAGAACATGCAGGATAAATTCCAGAGTATGACGGACCAGATAATCAACAGAATAGATGAAATGGGCACCAGAGTTGACGAACTTGAAAAAAACATCACAGATCTTATGACACAAGCTGGAATAGAGAATGAGAAGTAGGATCTTCTTATTTAGTAATTATCACTTTATAAAATAACCCAAAGATAATTTGTGCCTAAATTATCTCACATACATTATATAAAGTTAAGTTGAATGGTTGCATGTAAGCAGCTATTTGCAACGTTAATGTGTCTTGAGGTTTTTTAAGTAATGTACCAGTTTTTTAATTATCTATATTTTTAAAAATACTTTCTAGTTTTCTGGTAAGAATATTTCATAAATCATTACCATTTTGACATGATGGGATATTTGTTATCTGTGCAGATTTTGCCAGTTCAGGTACCACTGCCATATCTATTTCTTACGTAGAGCAGCATTGCTGTGTTCTGGATGAAATGGTTGTAAAACTAGTGCAGTTGCAAGCATAAGCCTATGGCCAGGAATGCTGTCACATTGTTAATGATATTGCATGTTTTGGTGGTGGTTACAACTTCTTATCAGGTGAACTGCCAGACTGCACCAGTATAAAAACATTCTAAAGTACCATTCATATAAAAAGCATGTTGTATATGGTAACAACTGTGCATTATTGATACAAGCACGTTTAGAATTGATGCAGTATGTGGAAAATCTAGTGTAACTCTTATGAATTATAGTATAATATGGAATTTTATTACAATAACAAGTCTCTGAAAGGACTATTGTAATTTTTTACAGCCTTAATAGGACTGGCTCACTCATATTGTTTCAAATAACTGTATTTATTCTTCACATTTGTCCAGATGTATCTTACACCTGATTATATAAATTGTTAATGACAATATCTGTGTGCATGTTTCACAAAAGTTGAGTGATGAATGTTTCAAAAAATGTGTTCTTATTATTACAAAGTAATTTAAATACCTAGGTTACCTTGTGGGGTGACTAAAATAAAAAAAACCCTTTACAATGAATAAGATTTCACACTCTGCCTAACATACTACTACTATAAATTTGTAATTACAACAACAATAAGGCATACTTTATATTTTTATTCACTGATAGTTAGCGTTAGCACCGGCAAGTGACAGAAATATGTTTGTTTATTTAGGGTTTTGTAATCTTATTTTGTAATTATTAAATGTACTATTTGTAGATATTTCTTTGTGTCTTTTATGCCCACATATTTTGTGTTGTGTGTTGATGAGGATCCAGAGATGACTGATCTTATATATTATGTAAAAAAACGCATTGTAGATGACTACACTTTAAAACACCATGTCCCATCAATATTTTTATTTCATTCCTAAGAATTATCAATATCAGCCTATAATAATATTGTGTATGTGTGTAACCAATATTGAATATAGAATTGTTATTCTAGTTGGTGACTTAAGTTTTATGTATTATAATGTTGAGCTGTATCCAATTACACTCAGTGGGGTTGGTATTGATCACAAGTGTAGTGTCAGGTACAGACTGGCACAAGAAGGGCAAGTTGTATAAATGAATGTTAAATCAATAGACTTACATGTAATATTATCATTGGAAGTAAATCTGATTTACATTTATGTCATTGGGTATCACTCTCTCCTGGTTCAACAAAGAATAATAAAATTTGTTACGCAATAATCTGTTCGAATTATAAATTTGTTATGCAAGGTTGCTAAGTTGTTGGACGCAAGTGCTACCACGAGCGAAGCAAGTGATTTAGAAATAGAATTCTGAGCCTAGCGCGGGTTTCAAGTCACGAGACGCAAAACAACTTCGCTGCTGAGCGATACATACAACTTTTAAGAACATACCATTACACGGAAACTACTACCAAGGCAAGTCGACTGATTCGGCCCTACATGCCGTTGTCGGAGATAGAAGTGGCCCTTAAAAATAAGGCAATCTGCACAGCAGCAACAGGGCAGCTCGTTACACCAAGTACACACAACTTTTCACCTCACTATAGCGAGGAAAATGGTAGATGAAAGAAAAACAGTTGAACTACATCAAATCAGTTTTAATCAATGATATTATGTTTTAATAAACAAATTAGTTATCATTGTCAAATTAATGTTAACAATAATAAGATTACTATACTAACGGATTTATACATATTTATATTACCTACATAAATAATGTACGACAAATCCATGACAAATCGCATAGTTGAACGTGTCTATATTTTTTTTCATTGAAAGAAAAAGTTGAGTGCACCACATTCCATCGTTATGTTCGAACTGCAAAAACCTTAAAAAACACTTTTGCGCGCAGATTTCTAATGAGAAAGCAAGCCTTTCCGAGCCAGTAAGGTGAAAATTATATTTACGTACCTAAGAGCAGTGTAGTACTGTGAAAATAGTTTTCAATTAATTGCGTTGTTGTTACAGATGAATTAGGAATATATGATTGTCCATATGTTACGATCAGTTCTTGGTGTCTATTGTCAATAAAACACGCCATAAGGAGAAATATGTTTTAATGAACACACAGTATTAATATTACCTACACAAAAAAATTGCTTAAACTAACGCGATTCACTTTCTTGTGACGTGTCTTCTTCCTCGGAGTCATCAGAACCCTGTAAGGAATATCCAAGATTGTAGGAGAGCGTATAATGACTTTCTATTAGTCTTTTTCCAAGCACGCGTGTGCATAACTTTCTTATCATATGCAGTTTAGATTATCGGAGAAGATAAATGTCGTCGTCGGAACACCTATATGACGGTACAACTTCGGAGATTTCGCCGAAACAGATTTCGAAGAACAAATCTGCTTTGTCGGTGCGGCAGCAGTGGGAAGTTTATGGTTGGATAATATTTGTTTGAGTAATGCCAGATAATTTAAAAGATATAGAACCTTGGATAATATCTTTATAATATACGAGCCCTGTACCCCACGTACGGTGGCGTCGGGCTCGGCCTGCGGCGCGTGGTCGGTTTCAGTTTATGGGGTGTGCTCTTGCTCTTCGGTGGTACAGCAGTTAGTACTATGGGCGCTTGATGAGGAGGTCGATTCCCAATTTGGGGCCAATTTAAGAAACGCACATTTCTAAGTTGGTTTTGGTCTGAGTATTCTGGGTTATCGTCCTTTTGGTATTCATAGTACAGGAAATTCGGCAGTAGTTTGGCATTTTTTCCCCATAAATACTTCTCTTTGGCATAGCTTTCAAGTAAATGAAATCTAACCGAGAGAGATTAAGATACAACTACGCTATAATACGCCTTACATTTCTACAATTGTGAGATCTTGTGCTCGTAATCTATTACACCTCCGTATAATTACCTCCATACGATAGCGTGCGTACGCTTCGGGCTTCGACCTCCGCGGACCTCGGCCTGAGGCCTAGGCACTTAAGTTTGTTAAAAAAAAATTGAAATAGCTTTTTAACGGCGGCCATATTTATAAATTGCAAAAATATATTTTGACCACTAATTTTTATAAAACAATCTTAGAAAGCTTTTCATGCCAATTTTCAGTCCGAGCAAAGCAAGTTTTTTCAACAACCATTTACGCAAAAAAAATTTACCCCAGAGCGTTTTTTTAACGAAAAAAAGGCTCATATGACAGCCATACTAATCCGCCATTTTGAATTCGCCGTTTTGTTTTTTTTTAATCCAGGCAGTTGACCACTATTACCCTCTATGACATTCCCAGGACATTCCTTCGAGCACATCGTACCTATCTCTAATAGTTTCCGTGACAGAAGGCTTCGAAATTTGTATGGCGGCCATCTTGTTTATTTGAATTTCGAACATTTTTTACTTCCGGCACACCCCGGACACTCCATACAACGGTCGAAAATTTACCTACTACTACTATATACAGCAAGGCGCTATCTGCACACGCGTGAATGTGTGCGTGAAGTGGCAGGGTTACTTACCCATCACTTGCTCGTACTATTACGTTACGTGGTCAGAGCGGCAACATAGCGAAAATTCTAACGCGAATCTGTTATCCATAATTTTAATATAGAATCCTAATAATCACACATGTTCATTACGTATTTATATCGATATAATATTATATTTTTTATAAATTCCGTAACTAGAATAATATTGAAGATTTATTTAAAAAATATATTAAAAGCACTTAAAATGTTATATTTTGGACAGGTACCTTTAAATAAGGTAACCAAAGTATTTGAAATTGCGTGTACAAGTTAATCATTACCTAGTTGATAATTAGGTATATTCACTACGTAATATTTATCGGCAATACAAATTGAAAATTCTAGAACCCTTGTTTAGCTCACGAAGTTATGGCGTCTTATTATATTGATATAATAAATCTGTATTATATATTACTCTGCACTAAAGAAAGCAATAACTGAATAAGTCTGAGACAACAACAAGTTTTTTTTAATTACTTCGTTTCATCTATCAAAAAACGAAAGAAACCCCTCTCTTTATCCCGTTTAGATGATTATAAACAGCCGTACACAGCACAATTCACGACCATTATAAATAGTAACGTAAAATGATGTTATACACACATCAAAAGTGTCTAGGGATCAAGTGAATATTTTTGAAATAAAAACTATTTAAGCAATATTTACCAAATCCAGTCTACCAGGACAACTTCTTACTTTAATGCTTATGTTTTATTTAACCGCTTACCCCTATATTTAATTAAAATAAACTAAAATTGATGTTTTTGTAAATTGTGGGAAAAAACTCAAATTAACGGCGTCAATTAAATGACAAAAAAATGACGAAAATGATGATTTTGCTCATTTTTATTGTAAAGATAAGAAAATTAATAATCTGTATTTCCACCATTAACACGAATCACACAATTACAGCGATTTGGCATGCTTAAGATGAGTTCATCAAAATCACTTTGAGGAATGGCCGCCCATGTGTTTTGTAACAAGTCAAAATATTGTTGTAGAGTATGTACGGTATGCATACTCGGCACAGCTCTTCTTTGAAGCATATCCCATGCGTGCTCAATTGGATTGAGGTCTGGCGATTGAGCAGGCCACGGCAGAACGTTGATACGAGCTTCGGCAAGAATGCGTGTTACGACTCTAGCCGTGTGTGGACGTGCGTTGTCATGCATTAGTTGAAATGAATCACCCAACTGGCCTCGCAAAGGGATGATAACATCTGAAACAATCCTCTCTGCGTAAACTTGAGCATTGAGGTTACCCCTGATCCAAATGAGATCGGTTCTACCGCCGATCCAAATACCGGCCCACATCATTATTGTTTCCCCACCATATGGATGAACTTCCTGACAATATCTCAAACGTTCATGACGTCCAGATGTTCTCCAAACTCGAGTACGTCTTGTATCCGGTCTCATACCGAAGCGGGATTCATCCGAAAAGCACACATAGCGCCAGTCTTCTTCCTCCCAGTTTCTGTGTTCGCGAGCCCATCGTAAACGGGTCCTGCGATTGCAGGGTGCAATAGGTGGAACTCTGAGCGGCCTTCGGGATCGCAGACCCACTTCACGTAAACGATTTCGGATTGTTTGATCGCTTATTAGCAAGCCTGAGGAGCTGTGGAGCCTCGTAACCAACATCATGGCGGTCATGGTACGATTCCGTCGAGCAGTATTTTGGATATACCGGTCCTGTCTGCGAGTCGTGATGCGAGATCGTCCTCCATGTCGCTCGGCCACGCTGCCGTCATGCGATAGCGCGTCCAGAGGCGACTTATGACGCTCTGTGTAGTGTTAAGAGTGAAAGCCACAGCACGTTGCCTGGAACCAGCTTCCAACATTCCGACGGCTCGCATCATCACTTCTCGGGTTAAATGATGTCGTCTCTCCATAATAATGTAAATTGTTTCGGTTCCGATGCAGATATTGTAATGATTTTGTCAAAACGCTATAACTCATTTTTATACAAAACCACATTGACAATCGATTTTCTTCTTATTATCGAATTTTAAACAATATTCCTTATTTAAATGTTAAAACTCACTAAAAAGTATCAATAGCGATACAAAAAAGTTAATATAATTAACCCTAATTGCAGCAATACTCTTAAACGTACTTGATCCCTAGACACTTTTGATGTGTGTATATTAACGTACAAATTTCGTAATGAATAAATGAAAACTATATTAAAAATCAAAGCCGTCTTGCGCGAGATCGGCTCGCCGACAGCCTTATACTCATTCCGTCAATGTGACCGTCAATGTGCGGGGCGTGGTGCGGTATCTAAAGCTAGAGAGGGGCGGAGAGTGTCCGTTCTCATTACTTATCTGTTCTCTGCTTCCGGCGGAAATTGACCAGGGTGTAGATCAAATATTCCCTCCATATATTATAGTTTTTGCAGGCCATAGATCAATCTTCCATATTTTCCACATTCAGGTCTTCTCGGTATAAATATACGGTATAAATATCTTTTTTCCACCATATCGGGCAGTATGCGTTCTATTTCTATCAGTGAGTAAGAACTTGTAGCTTTATGTATATAACAGGTAAGGTAATAAAGATAATAAGAGCTTAACTATATATTTTTATAATGAGGATATTTGAATCTACAATTACCTCCTCTGATTCTTCTTCGTCTTTAGAATGGTTCATTAGAGCTGCCAACGAATTGGACCTTCCGATAGTATTTAGTTTTTCTGGAGATCTCAGACGTTTTAGATTCTGTAAAATATAGGCTCCTATGTAATTTGTTAAGATAGATCGCACTGTTAATACAATAGTACATTAACTCAACTGCCTCTGTGGCCGAACGGTTACCATGCCGGACTGCCACGCAGAGGTCCCAGGTTCGATTCCCGGGCCGGGAGAAATATTTGTATGGCCTACATTTATTTCTCTCGTGAGTTTGGGTGTAATTTGTGGTTGTCTATGTGTGTGTCCATGGCACCCGCGACACAGGGTTTCCCTAGTGCGGGGCTATGTTGAGTGTGAGCGTTATTATCATTTATTATTAACTCAAAAAGTTTACTTTCTCAGAATCGGCGAAAAAGGAATTATTCGCTTACCGTGAAAGATCTGTGTACATTTATGTATAAGTTATTTCCTACTTGCCAAATATACATATTTAAAAATAAAAGAGAAAAAATAGTTTCATATTTTTGAATATGGACTATTTTGGCCATAACTAGCTCACATAAAGCGTGTCTCATTTGGAGTTAAGTAGTTATCTTTTAATTGTTTTTTACGATGTTCTAACGGTTTTATTGACGTGTAGAGAATCAAATTTTACGTTCAACAATGGTATAATCTAGAATTTCACATATTTTGAGTTATAACACTATTGTAATAGCACTGCGATATCTAGACTAATAGTACTTGCAGTCTTGCAACTAATTACAGGAGGATTTCTTACATGCTTTTATATCTTGCTTTAGATGCCGGGCGGTACCCGTCTTCAGCTGCCTGATTTTGATTCAAATCGGAATAGATCCATTCGGATTGTCTCGAAATCAGATGGGTTTCTGAGTGAGAAGATGAATCCCTGGATCCCTACTATATTTTTCGAATATTTGATTTAAAACGTCTATTGTTCCGATTAGAAATGTCAAAAGATTCCGATCGGCCAGTTGTAAATCGCAATTATGCGTCTCGACTCGGAAAAGGCGCAGTTTCCGATCGGATGAGGCAATCAAAATCAAGCTGCAGACCGTGCTGTTAGCGGAAGTTGATAATGCGAAAGTGTACGTGAACGGTTATCAAAAATCAAGTCCCGACTCTAATAATATAAATCTACTGAAATAATTAAGAGCACCCAGCTGCTAGGAGTTAAAATTCCCTGGAAACGGTACCGTAATATAGACATATAATTCACATATAGTGTTTATTCGACGTCTACACCTCTTAACAATTGTTTCACAATCCATCTATACATATGTTTATTCAAAGTAATTATATTTTTTACCATAGAATCTTCCTCTTCCTTGGATGGCGAATGTTGATTCATTAACGAAGCAAGTGACGACGATCTGGCGGATATACCGGTGTTCACTTGCTTCTCAGGAGAACGCAGTTTACGTCTAAAGTTCTACATGAAATATTTTAAGAATAATCACAATGTAGGAAAGTAATAGCAGTAATGTAGGTATATGTAAGTGAGGGTACATGAATCAAGTAGGTAGTATGTAAAATATTTACCATTGGTTCCTCGCGATCGGATAGACCTGTGTCCAAACGCTTTTAAAAAAAAGCATGTACTTTATTGACTGAAGTAACATTATTTTCTATTAAAGTAAAATATATACTTAGCTATCTAACTAACAAATCTTATAAAATAGTGGCAGTTATTACGTAGTGTTATCTTGTGTTCGGAAATATTTCAGATTTCAAACGTTTTGCCAATGTGCCAAATTGAACAGTAGATATCTACTCAAGTAATTGAACTTTGATTAAACTATAAAATAAGCAATCGTTGATTCACACTCACATCAAGGTCAGCCCTGTCATTAATGTCAGCGATCTGCTGATGAGCCACAGTCAGAAGTTCCACCGCTTTAGCATGGAACGTCATCTCTATCATTACAAAGTCTGACAGTAGGGTCTTCAACTGTTGTAATTTACGTCTCTCGAAGAACTCAGTCTGTTCACTGAGGCCTTTCGCCGTGCGGGACATTTCTGCTGACGCTTTTAGCAACTCAGTTTCGGCGTACGTCTAAGAAAATTACCTTATTAGTCGTTTAAACTTAAATTAATTGTGACTGACGCAGCCCGACGGTTCAACTCAAGAAAAGTAGTCCCCCTTGATTAAATAAATTCCTTATTACACCTATGTTTTATGCACGTGAAAATAACCACAGGCATTAATTTTTGGTGACTTAAAGCTTAAAGTTTAAATTTCAAATAATTATAAGTAAGCTTCATGGTTGTTTTTTACTACTGCTGTCGGATATCGGAGATGTGCTACAATATTATGAAATGCTGAAATGAACACGAAGAAATATTTCTAGGTACAAATGCCTGTCAGAGGGCACTCGCTAAATAAAATATTAAAAAGAATATCTTGGGCCAAGAGCGCTCAAACTTTAAATCCGGCTCATGTTCATTTTCAGTAAGTACTTAAACTGAGTGAAATAAATATAGTAAGTATATACGAGTATGCATATTGGACACCTACAACTTGCTGCCTGTTAAAAGGTTGTCTTTCCCTAGTCTTGTCCAATACTTTCTTCCTAGCAATTTCCTTTTCTCTTACATTCATTGTATGCTTCAATTCTTCTCTTGCGTGTTTACATATCGTTTCATATTGGCATAGCTCTCCAATAACCTAAAAAAGAACAAAAAGTTACCTTAGATAGAGTAACGAACCAAGCACACGTAAACACACAGCAGGGGGATCTTGGTATTATGCTTTCGGTACCTAGGTACCTACTTGTATGAAGTTGTCCTGTTGGGTGGATTTTGGGCGATAAAAATGGCGAAAATTTTCGTTCCGTGCTTACAACGATATACCCACAGAACAGATATATCGTAGGTATACCATTATCGTAGTAATTCAATAAAAGTAAGTTTATCTCTTCAGCCGGGTTTTCACTATACGAGTACTCGAACCGAGTACACTCGGTCGCTACTCATAACTAGTAAGTACGTCGCACCCCTCATGGAAGAATGGACAAGTGAAGTTACGTCTAAAATGTTTATTGCTCCATTGGATACAGCCAAATATAACCTACATCCTTATCTTTCTCTTTCACTTCTCGAATAAAATTATTGGAAGCACTCTGTTTACGTCTTAAAATCCATTTTCCGACCCAAATCTTTCTCTTACTTTCCCTTCCATGATTTTGTACTTCAGTCATTAACCTAATATCTGCTACAACTCATACACCTCGCAGTAGCAGATCAGTCATCACTCGTCATCACCTTGATTATGCAAGGAGATTAAATTCTACTTGGATGAACTAGTAAGGTGTAAACTAAAATCCGAGTGGACTACTATACGATGTTACTCGTAGTACGAGCGCACTCGGTTCGAGTGCACTCGTATAGTGAAATTCGGCTTTTTTCTATTAACGTGTCTTCTGAAAAATAATATAAACCTGTCTGTGACTTTACGCGTATAATAGTGAGTGTCTCTATTTAAAGTTATATTTAAATATAAAAAAAACTGCAGTTTCATTCCAGTAGTCATATAGGTAGGTATATTCCACAAACTACCTATATCTACATATCTACTCATAGCTCCTAATTTTCATATTAAGCATAATTATTGTGCAACCGTATTTACCTTTGCTTCCAAACGTTGAACTTCACAGTTTCTGTATTCTTCTATGGCAGTTAGCGTAATCGATAAGTTTTCGAGACCAGAACTCAGGGATTTATTGACAATTTCGTTATTAGCATAATCTTTCAGGGTCTTGGCGACTTCGTCACCCATGTCCCGTAGTCTGAAAACATGAAATAGATAACAGTTACAATTGGTGTGTTGAAACACGCATAAAGTTAGAATATTCTGAAAAATGTGGAACCTTGCAGTTTTTCGGACATAATCTCCAAATACAACGCATAACTCTCCAAAATTCTTTTCAACACTTGTAATTCGATCCTGAATGAACTTTGCTTGCTGCTCATAACTTAACGAGTGTGAATTATCACCGCGAAACATTTTTAACAGTGTAATAACCCTTTAATTGTTTATTTAACCAGAGCAATAAGTGCGTTGTTTACTGATCAGTTGCCATAGCAACCAAAATATTGACAGAGGAATAAAAAGGTCTATTACAAACTTATTACGTACGAATAATTTTTAACCGAGTTCAAAAAAAGGAAGAGGTTCTCAATTCGACTGTTTTTTTATGTATGTTAATTTATGTGATATGTATGTTACGCGATAACTCCGCATTTGTGAACAGACTTTAATGATTCTTTTTTTGTTGGAAAGAGGGTACCCCAGTATTGGCTCCATTTTTTGAGGAAATGATTCCAGCTCTAAGGGTAGTAAACTAGGGGATGACTCCGGTTTCGCGCACTTTTCGGTAACCGATTTAAATACAATGTGGCAAATAGATGTAATTCCACGAACTTTTGAGGTCGGTTTTTTTAGTACTCGCGTTTGGACAGAGTGTGTGTCGTGCGTCGAGGCGTGGGAGGGGCGGAGTTTATTTTATAATTCGCGTTTTAAAAATCTTCAAAAGATATTTCTAAACGTAGAACATAATATGAGCCTTCGAAATATTTTTCAAATTTTTCCAATTATTCGGGAATTTTCACTATTTGAAATTTTCTGAAAATTACCCAACAGTAGTTATGATACTGTAATTATGACATTATATAATAAACTTGTTTATATACAAGCCACATAAAGAAAAACGAGATTTAAAATTATTTTATAACAGTGAAAAAACTCCAACAACCACACCACCACCACTTGTAGTATGCTCCATCGATTTCGTTCAGTAACTTCAACTTTTGACAGGGGCCAACGTAACATGTGGTAAATTAAAGAAATAAATATCCGGAACTATAACTATATTTATATTTCTGAAAAATATGATTTTTTTCAAAATGGAAATTTTTTCACGATCCAACACTAATCATTACTAACATAACAGAGCTACAAAAACCAATAAAAAAGAATAACGTCAATGTCAAATTGTTAAACAGCTGTTTCTGTTTCTCATACTTTTGTTTACAATTTATATTTTAATAATATCAGAATGAACGAGGAAATAGACGAATATGATATTTACCATCAAGATTTTACGACAGTATCTGAATGGGAAGTTTTTATTGCAAGGATAGAGGAGATTCTTAACGAATGGAGGCTATCCAAAGCGAAGCTACCTAAACCGTCCGTGGAATACACAAAGAAGTGGGTATGTAAATCGGAAAATATTCGTCTGCACGATCTCAATTTCACACTGTCGTATCATACGCTAGAACCGGTCGATAAACCATACACAACAGAGGTGGCTGGTAGTAAATGCTTATTACAAGAATTGCAAAACAACCTTTGGGATTCAACATCGAACTTCATGGATGACGTAGATGGCAGTCATTTTCCTGTATCTACATGGTACGGCCTAAAAAGGTACTTAATGCTGTGCCCTATTTCACCACTAATAGAAGGCAGTTATATAAAGTTAGTTATGAGTTCTGTGAATATTGCCTTTGCTAATGTTGATTGTGGAGTTCCTATCTTCGTTAAAATCCGAGAGCATTGGCAGCACTGTTATCTGGGCTTGTATGAAGACAATGAACATAAAACTAACTTTGACACAATACACTTGAAGAGAATTTCGAACCATTGCTCCCATTTAAGCGGCTTAATCAGTTTGTTTAAGTCCAAAATTGCTTCCCCAATAGCTCTAGATGCTGTTATTATTTCTGCGAAACTATCTTATGAATTAAAAGACTTTGAGAGTTTTGCCTGGAGGAAAATGGCTGTGACAAATGAGTTTTTGTCAATAGAAGGATTTGATGTTAAAAAGTTAACAGAATTGCCATTTGGTTGTGAGAAGAACCCTATACACAGTGCATTGTTGAATGCGACATGGCCCAAATTTCGTGAGAGTACTATTGTTCATTGTTCTACATACTCAGACATTGATCCGTTGATGGCTCCCCACTGGACAATTGTGTTGAAAATGAGGGAAAATATGAATTGTCAATTATCTGAGACTATTGGTAAGATGATGGATTTATTGGATAACACCAACTTGCTTATGGATACACTGGGTTTGAGTAGGAGTTTAGGGCTAATGAATCCTCTGCATAAGATCACAGAGGCTCCAACAACAATTTCAAAGCTTGTGAAGGCGGCTATTGGTCAAGGCACAAATGTATCTGAGTTTAAAGGGCCTATAGCTGATGACTTGTTGATGCCTTTACTGTATTTCATATTCCCTGATGCTGTTGAGGATGACACTTTTAATTATCCAGAGCAATTGGAGGTGGAAATGAAACAGGTAAGACAGAAAAGGTTTTTTTGTCACCACCTTTTTAATATCGACATTTGGGGAAGGTAGTGTGTCAAAAGTCCATTTAACAATAATGAGTTGTTTAGTACTTGGGCTCAATGTCCATGCTCCTTCTATCCGTCTACACAAAACTTAGTAAGTCGTCAAAAAATTTTTTTTTGTGGGAACAGTTATAAAAATAAAAAAGGTTACAAACTAAAAAGCTTTTAAATTGGAGGTTTTTCACTCATCTCGTAAACTTTCCCAAGTATCGATATTTTTGTCTTTGTATTCAACATTCATAAAAGAAAATTTTAAATATTATATGTATATAGTAAACGTCAATGCTGAATCTTTGCCTAAAAAATAAAAAATCTGCTATTCATAATTTCAGAGTGACAGTACCCAGTCCAAACTTTGCAGTTACGTAAAAACAAGTCCTGAAGGTGGTCTAGTATGGCGGCTGTCGGTCACGGCGGCGCGGCTACACGATGCTGGCGGTCTTCCTTACCTCGCCCATTTCTGGTACGAGTTCACACAAGAATTACAGTACCGGTGGGAACATAAAATTCTAGTACCTGGGTGAGTACAGTCTGTATTTTGCGTGTAAGCGCTAAAAAGTAATATTTTGACTTGCAGTTTTTAAAGAACTAATTTCTTCAACTGACAACATGAAAATTGATGTCAAAAATCAATACCAGTGCCATTTTAAAGATCAAATTCTACATGTCTCTATTTAAGTTTGTCTCTAACTTGTCAAGGAGCACACTAATGCCCTATTATGATAGTTATTATTATAATATTCTGCTGCCTTGCTTGGGTGTTTTTCGCTCAAGGTCATGGTTGTGTATTTCCATTGCCACTACCTACTCTCAAATGTACATAAGTGTCAATAATCATATAAAAGTTCCATTTTGAGTTACATACAGTTTTAAAATGATGTGAAACTTGATATGAAATAAACCTAAAATCCTGTCATGATGTGACAGTGCCAATACATGCGGAAGGAATATAAAAATATCGCCGCTATGACATTGTATCATGAATAAAGCACAATTATAATCAATTTTGTACAGAAGATACTATACTGGAATTAAAATTAAACAAAAATAATAAATAAATAACAATTTAATTACAGACTTCTGTAAACTTTATAATTTTTATTAATGTTTATAAATACATTATTTATTTACATTTCACCACCTGACATTGATTGTCATTAATTTACTGCTCTAGCCCCATTTGGATTGCGCTTCCCTTACTTTAGGATACTATAAAATATTATTTGTATATAATTTGAAACTTTTTTATCTAATATATACAACTTTTAGAACTTAATAATTATACATGTTAAAAAGTAACTTACTAATAATAAAAACAAATATATACTTAACAAATCTATATTATCAGTGGTAATATTTGACACTTTGAGTGTCTACTTAGTACAAAATAGTCAAATTTGCATATAGGTTTTAATAGATTATGTGGCTAATTCATTGATGCTCATGGACAGAAAACATTTTGTGACTAGTTTTCACTAACCAAACCTGTCGCTATAGCACCGCAGCGAAACGAATAAATAACTTTCAAGCTATTTATCGTTTTTAATGAAATATTTGAATTACTCTGTTCTAATATTTATTAAGATGTTTCCTCTCAAAATATCGGTTAAGAGGGAACACCTAATGTAATTGCCTATCTCTTAACCTAAGTACTATTTGCATTATTGCACTAATTCGTTATGGAATGAATAAACCCGCTATTTTAGCGGGGAATAACTGAAAATTAACGCCGATGTCGCCTATGCAATTTAGTGTTACACATGTTAGAGAACGTCTTTAACGTAAGAGTACACTACAAACATACAACATCAGTCATCGACTGCGACCGGATTTACCTGCTCCTTTGAGAGCATCCCAGGTAGGGTCGGCGCGCGCAGCCAAGCCAGATCGTGTGGCGCCGGTAGTTGCGGCGGAGCGACGGCGGTGGTGCCGGTGCGCGCGCGCGTGCCCGTGTCCGTGTCCATGTGGCCGCTCATGTGCGGAGCACGTAGTGCAGGTCACGTCCCTCAGTGCTGGCGGGAAATGCGCACTCAACGTCCCCGCGCCCCTCCCTGTCGCACCCGCGCTGCGTCGCGCCGCCCCGCTCGCGCGCTATAACGGGACCAGTCCACCACGCGTCGTCGGATTCCGCGCCATATAGATATCCATGTCGTGGTCGGTCCAGTTATCTGAGGTGTCACAGTACCCCATTCCAAGGGAGCCTACGCTGTATCTACTGGCGGGGCGTGAGCGCGACCTTGGACGCCGCCGCGAGCCTGCTGTGCCGCCGGTAGCGCCTCCCGCCGCGCCGCTTAGGGACAGGCGTGAAGCGCGCTCCGATGCCGCGCCCAGAGATTGTCGAGATTGCCGAAGATCTGAGGGAATGAGTTGGAAATGAGTATCGTGCAGTGGGAATAGAAGCTCCCGAAAGCGCGAAATGGAAAGACGGTGAGACAAGCGAAGAACAAGAGACTCACCGGCTCTAGATCCGAGGAGGCTGCCCGGATAGCCGGGCACGCCGTAGCGGCCCGACTGCGAGTAGCTGTGTTGCGACTGGCCGTCAGCGAGCGAACGCGCGCGTCCGGGCCGACCGGGCAGCGGGTCCACGGGAGCCGGATCTGTGTAAGTTCGTGCTCGCGGGATCGAACGTGCGCTATAAGCTGACACTTGATCCCACTCACGCTGCTTTCCGAAGGCGCCGAGAGTGGCTAGTGAAGACAGTGGACCGCTGGGGCTCGGCGTGCCGGTCAGTCCACCGCAGCACGGATTAGGTAGTTTTTCCGGTAGTTGCGTGTGTAGCCGATGCACGGTGCGCGAGCGGCGTCGCGACGCTGCCGCGAACACCAGCACGGCCACTACAATGGTGCCGCAAATGGCGGCCGAAGCAGCAATCGTAATCTTGTCCATGTTAGACGCCGCCGCCGACACCGTACGCACCTCTCGGCACTGGGAGTACGGCACCGACTCAGGACTCACATCCACTTCCTCCAGGGAGATTACGCAGACCACGATACATTCCTGTCGCATAATTAATGTGGTATGACAAATGACGACTCCAAAAGGATTATAAAATTTTTCAGATTGTAAAAACTTACCTGAGAAGGGACGTTTTTTATTTTGAATTCTCTTTCGCTAGCATCTAGCGGTGGTCCTTGTTTGAAGCTTTTGTCACCAAACAGTCTGTATACGACGCGGAAGCCGAGAATGTTTGCCACATCGGAATCCCATTGGATGATGACGGAATTGTCTTGTCTGTATGCATTCTTTACAACTACTTCATTGGAATCGTCGACTTTTCGTTTTTGTTGTGGGAAATTCATGACGAGTGGTGGCCGTTGGTGTGGCGCATGCCGCCAGGTCGGTGCTGCTGGCCGCAAAGATGGCACACGACTGGGTCTAACGGTACTTGTGGTTGTCTGCAATATAGCAGGCTTGGATGCTTCACTGTTTGTAACAGGCACTGTTGGGGCAGTAGTTGAACTCTCAGTTACTTGAGCGATGGTAGTGGATGAGGGCGTCTGAGTAGTTTTCCAGTTGTTTGGCTCGTTTGTAGCTGCAGAATGCGCAGCCGGTTTTAAAGTACTTTCATGCTCGCAGGTTAACTCACTCGGTTCGAAGCTGTAAAAGCCTCGTTCGCGGAATTGAGGTGGGTTGCCGCAAAATTGAGGATTTCTCTCGCGAGAAGTCACTTGCAGTTCTCCACTGCGAATCCATTCAATAATCCAACGTAGTCGACAATCACAGTTAAGAAATCGTCCTCCTAAACTCAAACCTCTTAATGTGTGATTTAAATGAACAAATGCTTCCTCTGGTACTGTAGGCAAAGGGTTACCGTCCAACGCTAGCAATGTTATTGAAGGATTTCTTAATAATGCATCTGTGGGCAATTTATTTAACAAATTGAACCCTATATCCAATACTTTCAGTTCTGTCAAAGTGCTTATTGCAGCCGTTGGAAATTCTGGTAACAGATTGTTCAGAAGACTCAAAGAACTTAACGAATGTTTGACTCCTGCAAAAGCGTCTTCTCGAAGTTGAACTAACAAGTTTCTCTCCAAGTTCAGAGCCGTTAAAGAGTTTAATCCTTCAAAGACGCTACTACCATCAGGTCCTGGTAATTCCCGAATGCTGTTTTGAGACAGATCAAGGAAAGCAAGACTCCTCAAATTTTTAATACATCCAGGAACTATCTTCTGTTTTGTGCCCTTTAGATTTAAGTTTTTTAAAGAATTTTCTAATCCTGACAAAGCATGAGATGCTAATGTAACGTTATTGTCAGATATCTTCAGAGTTGTTAGTTTTCGTAATGTAATGAAGGCGTGGTTTTCAATTTGTGTTATGCGGTTTTTAGATATATCTAGCAAAGAGAGGTTGATCAATATTTTCAGGGCCTTTACTGGTACCTCGGTGAGCTCATTATCTTGCAAATTTAAATTTTTTAAATAAGGTCCTTGCCCTCTGAAGGCGTCATCTTCAATTTTCCTTATTTTACATCCAGATATCTGTAGATTATGTATCTTGAGGTTTGAAAACATGTTGTTGGTAAGTGCTGGGATAGTGGAGTTGTTTATGTATAGTAAGTCTATTTCTATGTTACGGGCGCTGATGTTGAGTGCTGCGATAAGAGCTTGGAAATCAACCTGAAAGAAAAAGGCATTATCAAGTTAAAAAGGCGAAATGATAAGCGCGTGTTGACTGTCATTTATGTTATGAATTGACAAAAAATTGTGTAGTATTTATATTCTTTTTCACTCTAAGTTAGATTCTTACCGATGTGTAAAGGGTTCAGGTCTATTTCAATATAAGCAATACAATAGCTATAAACTTAAAGATATATTTACCTGATCGCATTGGACGGACAGATCTTTAGCGAGGTTGAAGGCACAAACGCAGGATGCCTGCAGGGTAGCAGCGCCCGCCCAGGGACACTGCTGACCTTGAGCGCTTTGTACCATAATCATTAGTAATACCGCTGCCCACCATGGGCGATGATGTGCGCCCGTGTGCTGGGCCTGGAATGATAAAAATTAATAATTAAAATGGTTACCTACTTGACGAATGTATAAAGTCAGTATAAAGCAGGGTTCGATATTATCATGATATTAAATTTTTTAAATAATTATCATGATACAATTCAATAAAAATTTTAATACAGTAAATAGCGACATCCCTAGCCGGGACTGGTAGCTGTAAAGGTATCTAACTGGGTGACGAAATACTTTCATAGGTTTCTCATGGATAGCGCTACGGCTAAAAAGTCGTTGAAAAACCAAAAATACGTGAGGTCCGCTGTTTCGTTCCGTGGCTTAGTTGGCGTAGCGCACGGTTTGCTAGAAGAAATCGGTTCGAATGATTTTTTTCTAAGTGTTCGATTCTTTGTATTAATAATTATAACAAATAAGTGGAGTAATTTCCCAAAAAAATAATTGAATATCAATTCAATAAAAAATTAAATTATCACGATAATTATCTGATATAATAGCCGATAATTATTTATGCTGATTCATAATTTTGCCTTTTTTTTTAAATTAAAATTTTTAACTTAAATTACATACTGCGAGAAAACTAAATAAACACGAAGAAAAATGTTTGGGTACAAAATTTGATTCGTGATTTTCTTTAAGATTGATATTTGACACCAGTATTGCCAAACTTTTGCGAAGTTAATCCGCCAATTTATGTGTGTTAAGTAGCCGATATTCGCCTAACAAGACATAAAAACCTTAAAAATCAAGAAAAACAAATCTACAATTCCGCTTGCTGCCGGGCATTGTGAATATGAACTCATGAATTCTCTTATTTCCCCAATTCCCCACATGTATAAATACTCAAACCCGAAAATGAGTTATTTTACAACTCCATTCCCTACAAAATCCCAAATAAAATTTGTAATTTCCCAGACATTTTGTTAAGTAGCCTAAAACGCCTTTTTCTATTTAAAACGTAGCCTAAATATCGCCGAATCGCCGATTACTTTTTTACACCTAAAAGTAGCCAAAGGCTCACACTGGCGCAGAGTCGAAGCGTTGCATTGCGTCCTGTTTTTCACCTAAAACGCTTGGCGACGCGCGCCTAAATAGCGAAAAATCGCCGATCTGGCAACAGTGTTTGACACGTTTGGATACGTCTCTGATACAAACACATGGCACGACAATCCTAGCGGTAGTATTTTGATATTCCTCTTAATTTTATAAACTTCAAGATAAATATCAAAGTATACTTGGCAATAATAATTATACAAATACAAAAATCCTTTGTTGCCATAACGACACTTTTTGGGTATAAATAAGCCAAAAAATAATCAAACAGTAAACCGCACGCCAAACTTGTCAGAGGGCAAAAGGAGGTGTCTCAGCTTGTGCTGCCTGGAATTTCGTTGTTGTCGCAGACAGCGCTGTTTTTCAGCCAGGTTCTTGCCCCTAAGATCTTAGGTGGGCTTAAATGCAATGAGGGCCTAAAATAATTATACAATTTTAAAATCTATTATTTAATAGGCATTATTTAATCATTCAATATCATTGTACATATAATAGGGGAAGATAAATTAACTTTAACGAAAAAAAAGAAGAAAAAAAAAATCAATATGTTACTCTGACCAATGCTGTGTGTTATCACTTTGAATCCTGGTATACAAATACAAACGAGTTGTATTTGAGTAACAGCTTTCATTCAGTCATAGTCATACTAAAGTAAAATCGTACGGTAGTTGACAGACATAAACTATGTTGTCAAATACAAATGTCGTCGAAATCTGTGAATTAACATCACGATGGCAAAAGATAAGCGCAGCTAATTTAAAGCCATATTACGGCACGTGTGAAAGTGGTCACAGATGGGAATTTCGAAAATTGACACTTTTACTTTACGCGCAAATTATTTTCTTTGCTTTTACAGACCTACTTTAAGTTTCGTAACTAAACCGTAAGAGTTTCATTACCCTCGTAATGAGAATAACACTTGTAATCTTTAACAAGTGGAGCTATTTCACTAAAAATCTCAATAAATACATTAGATCGAAAAGCGACATCTACGTCAGTTGTGATACCTGTAAAGGTATCGGATGCAGTGAGAAGGTTATTAAAAAATCCCTCACTATATGTCACTAGCGGCGACGAGTGCCGAAAGTCAATACAAAGATCTATAACAAGAACACAGGAGAATTTCGACGACACTGTAACTGGAGTCGTGAATCAGATGGTTAGAGCAATGCTACGGTGCAGCATGGACGTGGGTTCAAGTCCCACCGGGTCGACGATCTACTCGTATGTATTCATAATCATAATAAAACTAGTGGAATTATTTCACAAAAAATCTCAATAAATAAATGCATTATCTTTTTAAGTTTATGATTTTTATGATGACTTAGGTACTGGAGTAACACGAATCAAATTCGCCCACTTGTTTTACTGAGCGAATATTTGTTCACGGGGCGTGCTGTGTTTACGCGATATTAAATAAAATATTAGGTTTACCTGTTGGAAGCGTATAATTAAATATTCTCTAAGCAAACACCATCCGCAGAGGCGTGCTTAGAATTCTCGAGTGTTTTTAATTGGACGGGCGCGAGGCGACACGCGGAATCTTTGAGCAGTGACATACCTTTATTCGAGATATCTTTTCCGCTCACTTGATCTTCCTCACATATATCATGTAAAATTATTAAGGAATGTTTTTTGCGTGCTATCTAACTCCATAATCTGCATAAGAGCCTAATTGATTAATCTTAACAGGATTAAGTACCACGTGAGTGCGTATAAATTCAAAAGACGATGACCAGTGCTTTCAAACAAAATCTATATAATAGTAGCAGTAGAGCGCCTTGTAAAAGAATTTGTCCAGGAAAGTACTCCCATCTGACTTGTTTCTGTCACCAAGCGGTGAGCTTTACTGTGTTTCGGTTGTGAAGTTTTAGGGTGTTGGTGTAATGGGGTTTCTGAACTTATAGACATGGGGTAACGGGCGCGTGCACTCAAATCTTTGCGATTTAAAGGGGCACTGCAACTGCTATGGACAGGCGTGTCATTTACCACCAGTCGCAAGACTTGTTCGTCCCGTCACTTGGTATTGTAAAAAAAGCACCTGTGATCCTGACGTAACTTACATAATTTTGAGATTATTTCATCTTCACAAATTAAAGAAGTGTCAGTGGTTAGCCAGTTTATTTTATGTGAAACGCAATGTCCTCGACGATAATGATTTCGTGAAGCGATTTGCTCTAATCGCTGTCACCGCAGACTGTGATGAAAGTAGATACCTTTATTGCTAAGGGAAAGGTCTTATGCAAGACGAAATGAACTGTGACGGTACGTTATAGACGTAATTTGTTGTTGTTGGTGTATTGCTGAAACGGGGTGGAGAGTGCGCATGCTCATTAGGGGCGGGGGCGATGAAGCAGTGCACGGACCGTAACGTCAAGTGCAGCGTGGCGGCCACGGACTAGTAGCGCGGAAAACTGTAGCTTTCCCCGCAGCTATAGGCTTGCGCGAGCCGGGGAAATGCCGTCGCTGAAAATGAAGATTCACACGAATTCATTCGCATCTAAAACAATAAATAACTGTTGTACTAACTTCGTAAATAGAAGATATTACACACTATCTAATAAAATATGGGTATGACTACGAATCTCGATGCCTGTAAATAGCCTAAACACCCTAACCTCGAACATTTTAAGCAGCAGTAGAGCCTCTTGTGAGAGAGTTGCGGGTTATGAAGGGTAAGGATGCTAGTGAAATTACAGGCACATGGGACTTGTCAACTTATGTCTCAGGGTGACCACTATGTACAGGCGTGTTGTCGCTTACCACCAGGCGCACGACTTGTTCGTCCCGGCACTTACTTGGTTGGTATCATAAAAAAGACTGGCATCAACCAGCAGTTTGTCGCCAAATAGTCTTCTAGCTTTATGTTCAACCTTATCTGGTATGGCAACTAGGTATTTGGCCTAATCATATCACACGTACCTCCTTGCATGACTAGATTTTGTGCTGTGTTTATACATATATGGTTAATTATTCACTGTGGTAGCCTAATGGTTTGACCTATCGCCTCTCAAGCAGAGGCCATGGGTTCAAATCCGGTCCGCATCTATGGAATTAATGTTCGAAATTTTATTTGAATTTTGTTAAGAGCTTTTCGGTGAAGGAAAACATCTCGATGAAAGTTGCACGTCTAAGAAGGTTCACAATCCTCGGAAAAACGTGTGAAGATTAAATTTAAGCTACAAGTTAGAGATTCGGCGTTTTCAAATTTTAGGCCTTTATTTACCCAACCATCATTCTTGTAGAGAAAAAACCGAAAGTGATATAAAACACCATTGAACGTCATCTTTATTTTAACTCGTGTAAACATTGATAGCAAACGTTTGTTGATGTCCAGAAATAATCGATCGCCCAAACAGTATCACATTACACTTGCACAAACTCAGTTGTGCTGGTGGAAAAAAAAATAGTATCTTACATTTTATATCAGAGACTTTGCAAGTGTCATGTCTAAAAGTGAAACTTTGAAATACTAGGTATTATTTTTAAAGTAAAATTGCATTTTTTACAGAATGCCATTGTTGCGACAACGAGGTTGCTAAAAAAACTATTTAGGACGGCTCTCAACTTTGTTCGTGTCAGCTTATGAATCATTAAATAAAATAACATCGACGAATTTCTCTTTCACCTTTTTAGCTCGATGACACAAATAGTCTGGTTTTGTGAATCTTTGCCTTGTTTTAGCGAGAGTATCTACACAAATTTAATACTTACTTGTATCGAAACTTGTACTTCGAAAAGGGTCCACAGCGCTGGCTTTCAGTGGACCCTTGCATGCATGGTAATCGCCGAATGATTACCATGCTGCTCTGCCACCCAGAGGTCTTGGGTTCGATTCCTGGGCCAGACAAATATTTGTATTGTCTACATTTATTTCTCTCTTGAGTTTGGGTGCAATTCGTGGTTGTCTATGTGTGTGTCGATGGAACACTCGGTGTAGGGTTTCCCTAGTGCAAGGCTATGAACGTGTGCGT